TTATCATAAGAGATTCTATGGCTCGTTGCTACGCAACGAGGTTTTGTTTGACCCCCAACCAATATGGCCGATAAAACCGTGGAAGGGTCTATTAGGGCAATTTTCAATCGAGTGTCGAGAGCATCCGATATTGCTTTCGTGTTACTTAACCTTGCTTTGTGATTGGGCCATAATTTCCGCGCCATCCTCTTAGCCGATCAGGTGCATAACTAAAACCAATCGCGACTTGGTCATTTCCCGCGCTTCAATCAGTTTGCTCTGTGATTGGTTCAGAAATCTCGCGCCATCCTCTCGGCCAATCAGGTGCAAAACTAAAACAATCGCGACTCAGTCATTTCCCGCGCTTCAAGCGGTTTGCTTGTTCTCATTGGCTACTGGTAATGTAATCATTTGTTTTGATTGGTCGCTGGGATTACTTTGGTTTTAGACTTCCAACACTCATTTAAAACTGCCCTACTGCGCTCAATTACAACGTAATAACTAAACTTCATTTGACAACACAAAGCCTCACTTAATGGGAGTCACAACCACTTCACTTTTCTTTTAGCCTACCAATTATACTAATTGTCTTTTACAATTGGAAAGAAATCTATGATCATAACAATAATAACGACAATGATAACGAGATAATGAGGAAGTTGAAGCTACACACAAAAACAACAAGTATGGGTAAAAAAAATCCAGAAATATAAAAATAAGAAACACAGAAAAGTTTGTTGACTTGCTTAGAAGTATGTCTTCAGCCTTGATCAAAATTAAAAAAAACATTTGGACGAGACCGTATTTTGAGGAGACATCTCTCCCTTAAAATGACCCGTGTGAGACAAATACACAATTAGGAAACGTCTCACAGATGATCTTTTGTACCTGGAGACCTTGGTTACATGAGTACAAGTAGACTTATATTACTGTGCTCTACCTTACGTTAATTTACCAAATTGCCACGTTGAAGCTGCCTCCAATCTATCTTATAATCTTTTAAGTAACAAAGAAAACTTAAAATCGTGTATACATATAAAGAAAACTTAGTGCAAACACTTTTTAAGTTCATGGTTTTCAATCTGCGTTGATCACCTTCATCTAAAACAATCCTCGCACTTTTTCGGTTTTGGTTCACCTCTTCACTGTTTTTCTTTTTTGTTTATTCAATTATTTATTTAATTGTTATCAATTACTATTAATGTTTTTCTACTATTAATGGCAAAACTTGTATGATAAAATGAACCAACACGTACTTTGATTGGTTGTTACTCATGATCCGCAAAGATGACGTCACCATAAAAATACTACTTTTTTAATCATGTAAAACAAATGGATTCCATGTTGTCATGGGTCTGCACAGTAATAGAACACAGAAGACGTCATAATGTGGTAAGAACATCCGTGACACATTCGGCTGCACCTCATGTACCTCTTTTTTGTTCTTACTGAACTTGTCAGACAGATGGCAACATAGAATCTATTTGTTAAACAATTTCACAGTTTCCTGGCATTTTAACGGGCCTTTTTAGAAGCCTACGGAAGTGAGATCGCTAAAATCTGAGTGTATCATTACCATACCGCTATCCAGTAGACGCTGTTTGGTTATGCTGGTCATTTCTCTGTCCACCTCAAACACTCCAGACCCAGGTGCAACAATGATAACCGTCTGCCCGGTACGACTAAAGTTACGATCGATGTGGTGCCTTTCAAATGCTGAAGTAAAATAAAATGGCGAAGAGAATTGAGAAATTATCCGTCGAGTATTGAAAGTTATCTTGGATTGCATTGGGTTCCCTGCACTCTGCTCTGTGATTGGTCTACACAACTGCCGCCAGCCTCTCGACCAATCAGATGCCAAACTAACAACAATCACAACTTGTCCTTCACAGAAAGTTTGCTTGTTTTTACTTTGAGTTCTCATTGGCTTCTGGTAATTACTATTTCATTCCAGATGTTCTGACTCGCCGTTTTCATTGTTTTGGTTTTGAATGTGAGGTGGCTGGAAACAGTTTTCTGATACACCAACCGACTATACTGAAAGCGCTCAAAAACGAACTTTCCCCTTTCGCAGTCAAACAAATTTCACAGATGTGTTCACCGGTGGATTGAAGTTTAAAATAATGGGCGTGGGATGGCAATCGCTATTGTGCTAAGGTTATGGGAAAATCCCTTCAAACAGCTTTTGGGAACGGTTTCTGAAATTCCTTGATAGATACTCCCAAAACTTCTAGATTTTCTTTTTTGAGATAAGGCCTCGCTGTTGAGTGAATTTTAGCAATTCAAAGTCAAACCGTTTCAAAATTATGGTACAGCTAAGTTTACAATTGATTTAACTGCCGCGACATGATACTGTTTAGGGAAATAGCTCTAAATTAACTTATATTCGATAGATTATATTTGTTTTTCGTACGACAAATTTCCATTATTTTCTTAGCCATTGTGCTTAATTTGAAGCTATTTTGTCGCGTCGAGGAGAAACTACGACGTCGCGAGTTAAGAGTAGTTTTTTGGGGGGTGTCTCGGCAAAAGACACGCAGTGGAAATTATGTTATGTTTGTGCCTACATCAGTTCCCGGTTGTTCAAAGAGCGGATAACGCTATTCACAGGATGAGTCATTATACGGTGGATAGTGCAGTATGAATAAAGAGGGTAAGTTTCTAAGGAAATTGTGATGCCGTGTCGGTGGGGGTAACAAGGTAATTTGGTAATATCAACTAAGTTAAAATTGTAACACATAATTCCTCCATTCGCTCTGACGAAGGGCTAACGCTCGAAACGTCAGCTTTTTAAATCTTTACGGTGGCCAATTTACAATTTCAACTTAGTTGATATTACAAAATTACGATAGTGCAGTATGTTTTGCAAACACTTACCCGCTAGAAAGCGATTTATTCGTTGGATAGAGTTATCCATCCTTCAAACAAATAGGCCCAGATCAATATTTTCACAATTAATAAATCTAACTCCTTGACAACGAATCTTCTTTCAACGGACATCTTTAGTGTGTGGATGTGTACAAAGAAATTGAGCCCTTTTGCCATCCAGAACATGTTCTAAACGGAACTTTCATGAAGTTTTACTATATATCTTTTGGTAAACGACGTAATCAGGAATGTGAGTGGACACTGAAATTGCAACACAAGCGAAACGATTCAACTGCGTCTCCCACCATATTTTCAATCAAATTTTCTTCAGGTAATCCGCCATAGCAGAGCAAACTCAAGAAAAAGGAGGATTGATGTAGTTGATACAATACGAGGTAATGACATGCAAGGTTGACGCTGAACCAGATCGAAAAGTCAAGAAGCTGAGGTCGATAAGCAATTAACGACAAGCTGTGTAAGCAGATATTAGCAAAGGTGGAGTGGGTGTTCGAGTGAAACAGGTCTCAAAAGGTTACAGACATATCATAGGTCATCTGATCCTTAATTTTTTTTCTTACTCAACAGGCGCATGACTAGAATTTTTCAGAGGGGGGCGGTGAAGATCACGTTTTGTCATACCAAGATTACATGAACCTTTCCCTGCTGTCATGTTGACATACATGTGTTTTACTACAAGTGATATTTTTCATGCCAAGTAGAATCTTCAGATTTACGCTTTTTCCCCTGAATTAAATGGTTTACAAGGGGGGGGGGGTGAGGATCACGTTTTATCATACCCAGATTACATGAACCTTCCTCTGCTGTCATGTTGACATACATGTGTTTTACTACAAGTGATATTTTTCATGCCAAGTAGAATCTTCAGATTTACACTTTTTTGCCCGAATTAAATGGTTTACAAAGGGGGGAGTAATAGGTAACCTGGAACTTCTCCCAAGCTACACCTCTGTTCAAAGACAGAGATATACTGTAGCAATCATAACTTACCATTCATTGCCAAGTTTATAGCTTCTAGAAAGTTTCCCTCATAAGAGCTGGAATTTTTACCCTTGATTTTTGTGCCTTTCAACTTATCACAACAGTTCGTGAGGTTTGGATATTGGTTAAAGCAGTGCTTCAGAGTGACTAGCATAGGGATCCAGTCATCACGCCTGTCTGATAAAGCAACAACTTGGTAGAAATCTTCATAAAAGCGTCCGTAAGGATCCTTTTGAATGCATCCTTGAGCGTCTTTAGGAAAGTCCTCTGCAAAAGTAGCGAATGAATATTTATGCATTAATTTAGACATTGAAACTTTTGAACAGTTTTCTTTCTCTGCTGAGAGTGGGGTTGGGGCAGGGAGTGGAGGGAACCCTCTACCTTTTTGGTCTTGCCCCACTCTACCTGTGGGTAGAATGTGAAAAAAAAGTTCTTTAGGAACCCTTGCTTGGCAGCCCAGATTGGTGCCACATATGGTTTGTGTGTGTAATAATCCTAATGCATCTCTCCTTACTATTACAAATATAATTTTTATGTCACCAATAGTGTGGTTCCTCCCCCTAAAAAGTGAAAGTAATTTTCTTGATTACTTAGCCACCCCATCATATTCCAAGTCCTGTGTAGTAGAGTAACACATTATTGGAACTGTCCGTTTATGGCCTATTGTGGGGTTTGAACCAAGGCTGTGCTCTTAGAAAAATTGAAGGGTGCCTAGAGCTCTGAAACTGTGAAATCCAGGGTGCCCAGCATATGCTTTATATTGGAAAACTAAGGTTCCTGAGTCGCCCAAGAGCAAAAGAAAGGTGCCAAGGGCCACTGCTTGACCACAGCCCTGTTGAGCCATTGTCCTATGGAAGGTCTCACTCCTAGTCTCTCTCTAAAAGTATAGTGTTCTTACTCAGTAGGAATTAAATACCCTATGATGCAAGGGTAATGTCCTCTATGTAGGAAAGTTTACCAAGAGAGGGTAATGGATTTGCTGATAACAAATGACACTTTACTTATAAACCATCTTTTGGTATAATTCAGGATGAGGAATTTTTATAATCAAGTTCCCTCCTCAGAATCCCAAGTTTTTTTGCGATACGGAAACTGACATTATTGATGCAATGATTGAATCTTCTTCTGTATACCTGGGACTGAGCTACCTTGCCTTACAGTACAATAGGAACATTACCTACCAAGAGATTGCGCATTGTAAAATGTTCTTGAAAACAGAATAATACTGACATCATGGTGGGCTTTAAGCTCCTTCCATTTGGTAAACAATTCATTACAAAATCCATTGATTGCCTTTTCAATATAAAGATCTCCACTGAAGTCAAAGTCCCACATTTCTTTACTCATTTGTATGAATAAATACATCTTTGTGCTACTTGATCTAAAAACCACCTGCAATGGGAAAGAAATTTCATGATTGATGTCCAGTAGGGGACTGCATTATAATTAAATCAAAGGAAGGAGTTGAAAGGCAAATTGCACAAAAATAGAAAGAAACTCAAATATGCAAGAAGACTGCTTTTCCAAATTTTTCGCATGTTGCCCCCTCACCTAATGCCTCCATTGATCTGAAGCTCCAACATTCCCGGTATTTGAACTATTGAAGATTGCTTTGTTCAAATTCCTGCCCCCCACCCCAGGCCAAAATTGTGTTCATATGCACTACCCATCTGCTGGGTTTAATGGTCAACTTTTTGGGAAAGGGAAACTCAGCGACTGTAGCATTCTACCCTTTGATCAATCTTTAAAACCTAGACCTTGTAAAACTTTTCTTCTGTGCCGTAAGCTTGTGGAAGTAAACTATTCACCTTAAAACACCTCCGTGTTTAAAGGCAAAACACTTGTATTCCACTTGAAAGACTTAGCACTTCTGGTCCTAATTCCCCACCCCCACCAAACAGGGTTCTAATTCCCCATTCCCTTCCACCTGGCCTGGGAGAGGATGGGGAATTTGCAGGTAATATCCAATCAAATCATTTTTTCCTCAAAAAAAGCCACATGGGGCTTGAACAAAATTGTCAACAGCAAATCAAAGACACCCTTTCCTAACTTTCTTTTGGAGGGTAGGGGTGGTTGTACACAGGCTAGCCCCCCCCCTTCCCCATATGAAACTTCTCCTCACATGTGATCGAACATATTAGGGCATAGGAATGGGGACATGATCCAAGTTAAAAAATCTCCACAGATTTTTGAAGACTGACACTGCAGCCTCCTTTCATCCACTGTACTCTCCTGTTTCCTCCCTATTCATCCCCCCCCCCTACTCTTTTGCTTACCCTGGTATCATCGGATATCACTCCACAGGACACCTTCTCTCCCTTAGTCCAGATCTCATTAACCTGAGCCCGCACCCCAAAATGTGACAGCTTCTTGGTGATATAAACACACGAGCCAACGAGCTGTTTGGAAAATCTCCACATTTCGCTCCTCGTGACGAACTGGTCTTTAAACAAAAGTTCCACCATGTCCACAGACACATCTTTTGGTTCAATCTTGGTGACCTCCACATCCCAGTAAGTTCTCAACTGAAAGATGTTAGCCACAGACTGTTCGATGCTGATTGTATCTTTCTGTTGAAATTCAGGATTAATCGATTTAATCTGCAGCAAAAGACGAGTATTGTCTTCATCGGGGTGATGAATCTCCAAGATGTCTCCCTCTCTCTCGTTCGGAAATTCCTTAGGATTTAGTATGAGATCATCCTCACTGAAGTTCTGCTGATGGACCCATAACTTAAAAAGCTTCATCCCTAAGAAATTTTTACTTCGATTACAACGTACAATCCAACATGTTTTTCTTTGCAAATTTTAGTTCGCTCTTTCCGCCATATTGTTTTTGTAGTGGATACCGCTGACTTGTTACCTGAGTCGCTACCGCCTCGCTACCTGACACTCCGGTAACTAATTCCCAGTTTACCAGAAGTATTATTGAGAAAGGAACGCCTGACGAGTTTCTGCTTCTACTTCTGTTCGATCTATGGTCGATTTTTAGTGTGTTTCAAGCTTTTTTACAATGCACCTACTTTTTCGAAGGCATATTTTGGTAGAAGAAGCTGGAATTGCAGCTGAATTTCTTTCTGCGGTAACTCGAACTGCCCAGTCAATAAAGCAAGGAAAACATACCATCAAAGCTCTTGAAAGTGGCACACCGAGACTCAGGTAGGCTGTAGGTACACGCACTTTACCAATATGTCAATTTAATTTAAATTCATTTCATTGTGTTCAATTCAACAACTATTTTAATATTTTTCAGGATGGCAGCATCTCTTAACAAAAGAAAACACAGGGAAAAACATGGCCGTATCATGCTAGAGGGATGGCGCCACATACGAGAAGCTTTTATGGCTAAAGCTAAGGTGTTAAATATATTTTATTCCAATCCAGCACTGCTTGATCACATCGACACTTCAAGTTTACCATCCAGCTGTCTGGCTCAAATAAGCGAAGAAACGATGGAGAGTTTATCAAGTGCTGTCACACCACCTGGTATAATAGGGATGTTCAAGCGTCCCAGACAGGGCGAAGGGGGAGAATTGAAGAACAGAAACACTCTTCAACTTCCATTGACAGTGTTATGTGATGGGCTGAAAGATCCAACAAACTTAGGTATGGGTTATGATTATTACATGGCAAAGAAATCGCTTTGAGTCAAACAAAGGTTGGTGATTCTGAAACCTTTAACCCTTTATTACCAAGATCTTATCAGCAATTCTCCTTACTATTAAACTCTACAATTCTTAAGTTAGTTTGGAAAATTTGGTATTGGATCAACTAACGATCGCCTTATTTAATAATCCCCATATGTTTCTTTATTCACATCACTTGTCCGCTTCACATTGTGCTGATATTGTAAGGAGAAATTCTGTTGTGGTCACTCATCTGAGTTAAGAGAAAAGAGAAAAGACATTGAATTGGGAAACAAACTAAAAAAGAAAAAAGAGATTACTACTATGGACAGTATAAAGAAGTGAGAAAGTTTGAAATTAAAAGTACATAAGTACAAGACCCTACTTTCTTCCATACTATTTATGGTAACTACTATATACTTGTCTAATGTATGTTACATTGTTTTATTTTGTAGGTACATTGGTGCGCACATCTGCAGCAGCAGCTTGCCAGTCCTTTATAACTTCAACAGGTTGTGTTGATGTATGGGACCCAAAAGTGTTAAGATGTGCTGCCGGAGGTCATTTTTATCTTCCCATTCATTACAACTTGGATTGGGAAGAGATTGAGGCAGTCATTGCAGATAAAAGGATTTTCCTTGCAGACAATAACATTTCTGGTAGGGAAAGTTTTTACCTAATGTGAAGTACCAAATGGTTGGTTGTTTGGACTGTCAGTCAGTTGATCTGTTTTTATGTTATGTTCACTTTTGATGTTCTTTTTATCCTATCCTGTTTTTATCTGGCAAAGAATAGATATTAATATACATTGGAATATAGTTCAATAATTTTGTAGTTTGGATTTCTGGCTGGTAAGACTTAGTTTTGGTGGCTTTTGAGTTAAAAAGTGTATGTCAATCTCTGAAAACTATTAATCAAGTTTGTGTCCAGAGAGCAATATTGAACCAGGGAATTTTATATTTCAAAGTGTATTCTAACAAAACCCATGAGTCACTTGCTTACTAAAATGTGAAACCTCGCTTGATATTATTTCTGGGGAATAAGAATCAATCACAAATGATGATGACTTCAAGCAGGCCCAGTCAGGTTGAGTCATTTCCCAATACTCCATTATTTTTTTTAATTCCCTTAGATGACCTATGTATTCCATCATCAGCACATTTCTTAGTGGACTGGACTCAAGGACCCAGTGTTTTGGTTATTGGTGGTGAGACCACAGGATTAGGGGAAATTATCAAAAACATAGCTTGGCAACATCAAGGACAACTTGTTCGTGTTCCCATGGCAAACACGATTGACTGTTTAAGTGCAGCAATGGCTGGCACAGTTATTATTTATGAGGCTTACCGACAATTACTTATTGCTGAACAGGATAGATAACATGATCAGTGTGAAGAGGTTAAATTTGTTGATTTGCCAATTAATAGTTTTTTGTTACATTCATTTTGAAATCACTTGGAATCCTTGCAATTTGATTGGCTCTCACTGCTGCGATTTATTCACAAACTGCACCATCGTGTGCTCTGAATCATGTTAGTAACCAGGCAATGAGAGAGCTTTGCTAAAACACAACAACCAATCAAATTTCAAGGCTTGTTGAAAGAAATAAATCAATCTGATGGAAAATGAGAGACAACTAGTGCAAATTTTTACAAACCACCTTAATAAACTGCATAAATGAAATATTTTTTCAGACTAAAAAAAACTTGTATTGTGCGAATAAATTTTTTGATTTCAAAATAAATACAATCATAAAGTTGAAATTAAACGTAGGTCTGTATTGTGCAATTTTGGTCTGAAATCCAAATCAAACTCATGCTGCATGCTTGTTTAATTGCATATGATTTCAGACCAAATTGCACTCCACTCAGTTTGGTTACAATTCAGAATTGTAATGTTACCATTCAATTTCTCTCCAAGAGAGTCACTATCGCAGCACCTATTGATGCATCTGCAAGTTCATTCAATACCAGTGGCAATTCAAAAACCTGTTCAACCTGTTTCTGTAGCACTTGGTTTCTCATCAGAGCACTACCAGCACAAACTATTTGTCGCACACCATGCAAATGAAGGAAATCTCGTGTCATCATTTCTTGTATGTTTTCAATAACTCCTCGACAAAGACCCAATCCAACATCACCGAGTGAGATATTTCCTGATGTCAAGTTGTTCACTTGTCCTCTTTGATCAGGAGAGTGCCTTTCACCCCATAAAGTTGGAACCACTTGAAGTGATGTTGCACCTTTCTCATCAGCACAGGCTAGAATTCTACGATAAATTTCATCTGTACAAGGAAGGCTCTCTTCAAGTCCAAGATCTCTCATCCATGATGTCAACATCTTAACAAAGGTGGCCAAAATATTACCACCTGTGCTGACAAAAGAAACAACAGCTGACAGTTAGACCTTAATAAAGATTTCTTAGTTTACCAACATTGTTGAGAATGACTCAATAAATCCACGGTTAAACTAAACGTTTTACTTTAGTTTGACTAAGAACAAAACCTCCACGACGAATACTCGATCTACACAAGGCAAAAAACTCGAACGAAGTAAAAATACTTGACATTTGATCCCTGTCACTCATTTTAAAAATACCATAAATGTAATGCAATGTCACGTGCTCCTGAACAAACAACAAAATGATCAATGCATTAAGAATTTTCCAAGAACCCCTATGGGTCTTTTAAGACCCATTATAGAAAATTAAAATTTTCTATAACATCGTTGCAACCCAAAGATATATCTCTGGAGATAGATAGAGGTAAACAGTGGTGGACTAAAGATTTAAAGTTAACACTGCTATCTCCAGTGTACAAGAAACTTCCTGTGAGTGAAAAGGAAGGGTTTGTTCACTCTTTGAACCAGCAGTACAAACATAAATGAAGGCAATCTGACTTAACCTGAAAGTGATGCAGCTGTCATAACTTTCTGTCCATGAAAGAATGGAAGAATTGTAACTGCTTTACTAGGCATCTTTGAGGTTTGAAATGAAGATTCCCCTGTGGCCACACTGTTGGTATTAGCAGGAATAACCACAGCCAGTTGACAGGATGTGCCAATATTAAGAACTGAAAATCAAAATATATGAGAACTGAAATTAAAACACTGGTTGAATTTTGTTTTGTTTGAAATGTGAAAGTTTCTAGTCATGACTGGTAAGGGATAAGAATGATTAATTCTTATGCTTTCTTTTTCCCTTAAACTTCTTAGGCAATGGCCTGTCACCTTTCATGTCCCACAAGTCTTACATTTTGACCATTAATGACCCTGATTCAAGTCTTTATCTCAATCACCACTTCATTTCCTATGGTTTTCTTTGGACAACCTCTTGTCCTCATACCATTGTGTCAAAGAGACCACAAATACTGTTAACTCCTTACTCCCCAGATCTGATTGTCACTTCTCCCCCTAGCCACTATGCATTTCCTTGTAAATTAGTTTCAAGAATTTGGTGTTCTACCGGAGTAGTTTCAGTATTCTCTTTACTTGTTTATTGGATAATCTATGGATATTGTAGGGAGAAGTTGCACATTAATCACCTCTGGGGGTTAAAAGGTTTGGTGATACAACATGCATGGAAAACACTTCAAATATTGTATTACCTGCATCACTTTCCTGGGATATGCTTGCCAGCAATGAGCACTGGAAGTCCCCGAGACCCACCCCCACAGGTGTACCAACTGGAATTCCATACAAAGACTTTTGTAGCTTACCGACAATTGTACCTGGTTGCACCACCACTGGTAGAAGTTGAGTGGGGAAGTTTGCCTTTTTCAGACTGAATAAGGAGTAAAAATAATAGGTTTGCAGTCTACCCTACTAGACATTGGTGTTGACTGCTTGTACAAAATCAGATAGGCAACTGGGCTCAATCTGAATGCCTAACAGTCAGAAATTTTCACAGAATTTCCACTGAAAGGTTGTTTCCAACCTCTTAGAATATGCAAACTTTTTTTAGAAATGTCAAGCAATTCCAAAAAATAATTTGATGTTTTAAATTGGCCAATTTTCCAAACTTTTGCAATTACACTTGGTTGTTGACACTTAGAAATCAGACTGCTGGGCATGCTCAAATGGACAAAATGCCCAGCAGTCAGAAATTTTCACAGAATTTCCATTAAGAGGAAGAGAAGAACTTGATAAGCATGTGAAATTACTAACTTACATATTTAACTCCCATGTCATATGATTGACATCAAAATATCCCCAGCTGACTGCATTGTGCGTGGACATGCAAGGCTTTCTCATTTCACAAAAAACACAAACAACGTAATCCATGATGGTTCCAGCGCAGTCAAAACGTTCCAAGAAGCTAGGGTCATTTCTCTGTAGCCAAAACATGCTTGCACATCCAAAACCAGTAGAAACAGGAATATTTGTGCGTGCAGGGGGTAGGGTGCCCAAAAATTCATTGTCACATCTCCCGTCCTCCCAAGTAATGAGATGAGAGACATTATCGCTCTGTATAAAATGGTCACCACCTCTTGATAAACTACATGTTTCACCTTTCCACATCACACATCCATGCATTTGTCCACAAATACCAATACGAGCCACTTTGGCCAGGAAATGTGGAGAGAATTGGGCAAGTACATGTTGTAAACAAGCAAATATTTTTACGACATCCTGCTCTGCAAAGTTCGATCTCTCGCCGGAATTATACGCCCTTGTATCAATTCTATAGCTTTCGATGACATCTCTATTACTATTTCGCACTAACGACACTTTTATCGAGGTTGTTCCTAAGTCTATTCCGAGGACGAAAGATTCCGAGTCACAATCCACCATCTTGTCACGCAACAAATGAAACTTGCAAAGCGTGAGGATATTTTTGGTGCATTTTACTTCACAGGCAGCCCAAGCTCACGACTGGAAAAGCGGACGTGACTCTTACGCAACGTTTTATATTTATAAAGGTTTGTATGGGATGTTATCGGTTTGCCTTAAAATAGAGAGGAAAATGTCTTGTTTTGAAATAAAATGGGCTTACCTTATTGCCTTGTTGTTGTCTTTGTTGATTCCTAGCGTCTCAGGCCATTTTGGGGTCATCCTCGGTGTAAAAATCTGACGAGGTTTTCTTTGTTTCATGAGGTATTGTTTTGCTGTACGCTATTTTTGTGTTTTGTTGTCTTTGTTTTACGTCACTCGTGAGCTTTACAGGGTTTTACACCGAGAATGAGCCCCATTTTGAAGCGTTTTCGGCGAGTTAGCGCTATGTTGGTGTCCAACTGCTTCTTTAAGCAGTTGAACACAAACATAGCGCTAACTCGCCGAAAACGCTTCAAAATGGCCTGAGACGCTAGGAATCAACAACGAAAACAACAAGGCAATAAGGTAAGTCCATTTTATTTCAAAACAAGACATTTTTTCTCTCTCTTAAAGCAAACCAATAACATCTCATACAAATACAAAACGTTGCGCAACACGGTAGGAGTCGCGTCCTCTTTTCTTGTAGTGAGCTTGGGCTGCCTGTGTTTACATGAGTCTGCTCTATTTAACCTTAGTTGCCTAATCAGAGAGAGCAGATGTTATGTAACATAATGAATATGTTCTGATAATTAATTTTTTCCGCGATAGTTAAACTCTTATTTACTTCGCTTTAAAAAAATGAGGGTTGCAATAATAGGAGCTGGAGCTAGTGGTCTTACCTGCATAAAATGCTGCAAAGACGAAGGATTAGAACCGGTATGTTTCGAACAAGAGGACTCCATTGGAGGACTGTGGTATTTTACCGAGGAGGAGCGACATAGCTCCGTATACAGGTCAACGGTAATTAACACCAGCAAGGAAATGATGTGCTTTTCGGATTTTCCAATCCCTAAAGAATATCCCCCGTTTATGCATCACCAATTGATCATGAAATACCTCCATTTGTACGCGAAAGAATTCGAATTGTACAGAAACATTCGGTTTCGCACTAAGGTGGTTGACCTCAAGAAAGCGCCAGATTTTGATGAAAGCGGGAAATGGGAAATCCTCTTTCAAGAACTTGACGACAAGAATCCCAACGCAGTGAAGAAAGAAGTGTACGATGCTGTGATGCTTTGTGTGGGTCACCACTCAGATCCTTCGTGGCCAACCTTTCCCGGTATGGACGGATTTTCAGGGCGTAAGATCCACAGCCATGCATACAAAGACTTTAAACCATTTGAAAACACGAAAGTCTTAGTGGTTGGTAGGTATTTTGCTCTTGACCTTTTTCTCCCCGAATCAAATATTTAATTTTTCAAGTAAATTTCCTGGCTATCTCTGCTCCCCTATCTCCAACCTTCAAACTTAAGAATCTTTGAAACAGTGTCAAAGATAAGTAATTTTTGTCTGGCTTTTTTTTTTTGTCTGAAACAAATTGCGTAGCCACATAATGGCACGATCTGATCATGATTTATTATGTCAAGCCGATTACTAATGAAATTTGTTTAAAATGAAATTAAAACAAAACAATTGGGAAATTGGGAAGATTGCATAAAACTTCCAAATCCCTCAGCCTTTTGTTTTTGCATGCTCTTTGTCTGGCAGTTGATAAACAGATGAGAGACAGTCGTCTCCATTAGTCATCACTTTTTATTGGACAAAAATGAATAGCCAATGACCCTTGCAAAGTAATCTGAGTCTTAATCATTCTTTTCTTCAATGCTCCTGACTAGCTCCCATTGCTCCTTCAACAACCCCAGAAGTTAAGAGGTGATCAGATTTATGTCACACTGAGAACTCAGTTTACCTGTTAATGGCCTTTCAAGGGTTGTCATGGTTACCTTCTGTATGCACTTGAGCCTCCGGCTTACTTTTCAGGCACGTTTACCCACGCTCGTATTTTATTTATTAGTTTAAAGCAGCAGTGTGTTTTGCAATGATCTGCAAATTTTTTCTATCTACAGGTATAGGGAACTCTGGTGGTGATATTGCTGTGGAACTCAGTCGTCACACTAAACAAGTCTTTCTCAGTACTCGCAGAGGGGCTTGGGTCCTGTCCCGCATGGGGAAGGGAGGCGAGCCTTTGGACCAGCAGGTCAACAGGCGTTTTGGGACTCTTTTGCCAAACTCCCTTCGAACAAGTCTTTTTAAAAAAATGTTAAATGAGAGATTTGATCATGAAGTTTTTGCACTGCAGCCTCAACATCCAATTGCTGGTCAGCATCCAATGGTCAATGATGCACTGCCTCACCGCATAATCATTGGAAGTGTTGTCATTAAACCTAATGTGAGCTCTTTCACCGAAACTGGAGTTATCTTTGATGATGGTACCCAAATAAATGACTTGGATGCTGTGATCTTCTGCACAGGGTACAAGATAGGATTCAGGTTCATTGATCAATCAATTCTCCCAGTTAGTGACAACAAAGTTGATTTGTACAAATATGTGTTCCCACCAAACCTTACCAAACCAACCCTTGCTGTTATTGGATGTGTGCAACCTCTTGGTGCCATTTTCCCTCTGTCAGAACTCCAGGGACGGTGGGCAACCCGAGTGTTTGGTGGGAAAACACCCCTTCCCTCTAAGAATGCCATGATGGAAGATGTTGAAATGAAAAGAGAGGCCATGCAAAATAGATATTATACTTCTAAACGCCACACAATTCAGGTAAAATAACCAAGCTCCAATGTACTATCAGTGGTATATCAATTTCTTTGTATGATTTTTTCTGTGATTATCAAGAAGAGCACACTCTGTTTGGTAGATGATCATGTCCTATCTAGAGTTTTGAATGAGGGCTCTAGTTTGCATTTGTACTACAGGTTTGTTTTGAGGTTTTCCATTATGGAAATGCTGGATCCACTGCTGACCAATGTTTGCAGAGTTTCAGCAAGTGTGGGAATTCTGATTGCTCACATCAATGTTGTTTGTAAAATGACATCACTGAGCAATTATTACAAGAAATTTAAAATCCTAATGATAAATGAGATAGAAAACCAAACCTGCTGAAAGGGGGCTGGAGTCTTTTCAATCACAAAGTTAGATATCTTTAGTTAAGGCAGTATATCTAAATGCTGTGTTTGCCAGGCATGGCCTTAAAAGGACTCAATGCCTTTAGAACAGGCTGAAATTTTCACAGGATTTTAACTGAAAGATCCTTTAAACTTCTTTTTCTTCTTAGAGCATTAGATGCTTGTTTAGAAATTTGAAGTGAATAAAAGCAAATGCTTTTGGATACCAACTCCAAACTCGTTAACTATAGTTGCATCTCATTTTATCTTTATTCCAGAATGTATCTTAGATAGTTTTTAATCTCAGCTGCAAAAACCTCTCTTCACTTTCACAGGTTGACTACATCCCCTATGCTGATGAATTGGCAAATCAGGTTGGTTGCAAGCCAAACTTGGTAAAGCTCTTTTTCAGTGATCCTACACTAGCCCTGAGGTGCTTTTTTGGACCTTGTACACCAGTCCAGTATCGTCTAATGGGCCCTGGTGCATGGAAAGGAGCTAAAAAAGCTATTGAAGATGCTCCAGGAAATGTGATTTATGCAACAAAGACTCGTGTCTTGCTAAAGAAGGAAGAGCAGGCACCTAACACCCCTGCTGTGTATCTGATGTTTTTAGTTTTGTTTGTGGTGTTGGTTTCCATTTTCTTACAATTCTGCAGAACACTTGAGTAATTCAGAGTGAGAGGTCACCACAGAGTGCACATGACTTCAAAGAATAATTCATAATTTAAGGAGGTATGTTCTGTTTTTTTTAACTTAAAAAACTTGCTGCCTTGTTTTAAACAAAACAAAACAAAGAAACAAAACCCTAAAATAACATGACACAAGATAGCCATATGTAACATAGATAATTTGTGCCTTCTTATTTCCAATCTTCACAATTTTCAGACAGCCTTTAACTTGAACATTTGAACCTCCAAATGCTGTAAACCATCACCAACAGATATCATGATATAGTTATAGCGCTAGGCGTGGTGTTGGATTAGTGCATTGGTCCTAGAGTTGTATTTCATGTAGGGTGTACTAGAGTAACAGTAGCAGTTTCTGCATAGTCTTGGTCTGGTGGAACCCCTAGATACTGTAATGTACTTTTCATTATTATGTCTCCCAGAGAGAATTGCATCATTGAATAAAGTCTCGCATTTGATTGGTTAATGAAGTGAGGTATTTAGTGTGGAATTGTGAGGCGAAGTGATATTGTTTTGCATCTACGTATGCATAGCAACTACCGGTATAAGTAATGCTGTTTTCGTTTTTTTCTTGTTTTTATTCAGTTATGTGATTCAAGGAAAATTCATTACTTGACTTGTGAATTCCACATCAAATTGCACTTGAAAACTGATATCACATGCATTGCTTCACAATTCCAGAGATATCGGTTTTCATGAGCAATTTAATGCAGAATTCCCTTGCCAAGTAATGAATTTTCCTATAGTACGAGTGTTATTATTGGTCAATTTAGCAGGCCTAAGTTTTGGTACAACTTCTTAACCCTTTGACCCCCCCCCTAAGAGTGACTTGCATCTAATTTCTCCTTACAATTTCAGTCCCTTGAATCAAACAGTAAGGTCAGGAGAATAAAGGAAATGATCATCAACTAAAGAAACTTTTGATTGTTAAAGAAATTCTTCTTGTCAGCACCTTAGAAAATGTATAGAGAACAGTATGGAGAATATGCATACTGATGTTAGGGTGTAAAGGGTTCAATTCAAAAGTTTGTTTAAATTGAAATTTTCTCCCTTTATTTGAACCCACTGAGATAAAACATATCTCACTGACCTTGTTTTCTCAGTCTGTACTGTAAGATACAGAACCTTGTTTTTTCTACTAAAATTTTTATCAGTGGCGGATGTATGGGAGGGGCCTACTCTCGTGAAGCCCAGCCCCCCCTTATTTTGAGTAAAAAAAAAATAAACACAGTGGAAAGAAAAGCCAGCAGGTGTACACACACACTCACAAAAAAAAAAAAAAAAAAAAAAAACAAAAAAAAAAAAANGAGTGTTATTATTGGTCAATTTAGCAGGCCTAAGTTTTGGTACAACTTCTTAACCCTTTGACCCCCCCTAAGAGTGACTTGCATCTAATTTCTCCTTACAATTTCAGTCCCTTGAATCAAACAGTAAGGTCAGGAGAATAAAGGAAATGATCATCAACTAAAGAAACTTTTGATTGTTAAAGAAATTCTTCTTGTCAGCACCTTAGAAAATGTATAGAGAACAGTATGGAGAATATGCATACTGATGTTAGGGTGTAAAGGGTTCAATTCAAAAGTTTGTTTAAATTGAAATTTTCTTCCTTTATTTGAACCCACTGAGATAAAACATATCTCACCGACCGTGTTTTCTCAGTCTGTACTGTAAGATACAGAACCTTGTTTTTTCTACTAAAATTTTTATCAGTGGTGGATGTATGGGAGGGGCCTACTCTCGTGAAGCCCAGCCCCCCCTTATTTTGAGTAAAAAAAAAATAAACACAGTGGAAAGAAAAGCCAGCAGGTGTACACACACACTCACAAAAAAAAAACAAAAAAAACAAAACAAAACAAAAAAAACAGGTTCCCCCTTAGCTTGAGGTCTGAATCTGCCACCGTTTATGGCCTGCAAGCTTTGGCCATAAATCTGGCAGAAAACACTTGTTCTGTAACTTACAATATAGACCTCAAAGAAGTATGTATAAACAAAGACTATTATTTTCAGGGATGTTTTTCAGCCCAGTGATGGTCATATGAATTTTAAGCATGTTCCAATTATGTATTGAAAACTGCTCGCTATTAAGAGAAAATCATTTTAATTGATAATTGGATAACCTTACAATGGTTTTTAATTTGAACTAGAAGTTGAGGGAACAGGACTGATATGACTTTTAGGACAAAAGTTAAAGTCACAATATGCTTTGAACTTTGATATCAGTGTCGTGTAGTTTTAACAGAAATTCTCTGCGTCACTGATTTTCTTGCTACATTTCGACGTCTTCGGTAATCTATGACTGTGCAGACCCAACATCAACGTGGAATCTGTTTGTTTTATATGGTAAGAAAGAAAAATGTTAATGGTGATTTCGTCTGTGCATCTGTCCTCCTGAGTGACTAGATCATGAATAAGAACTAATCTAATACTTGACTAATTCAGTTTATCATTTAAATACAGCTATTTCAAAAGATGAAGTCAATATATAGTAAACTAAAAAAACACTGATTGAAATATTTTGATTCAGATAAATGGAAAAGAAATAAATACTGAAATAAAATGAATATTGAAATATTTTGATAGATGAATAAATAAAGTTTACAAATACATCTCCTAACTGATTGTGAGCGAACGTCAAGAGAATCTGAGATGTTTTGATTTGTTATTAATTTTTTTTTATTTAGGAGAAATTTTTTTTCCTAAATGGAGAACTACATTGTTTGGTCCATAGGTGAAAAGTGTTGCCTCGTCCCATAGTTTGCAAACCTCTCCTGCTCCTCATCACCAAGCGCAGCACGCCATGCAGAAAAAAAAAAAAAACGGAGAAAAAAAAAAAAAACACTTGTTTCTTTCACGCGTTAAACTTTCGTAACAGCTCTGATGCAAATCGAAAGTTGGCCTTTGACGCAGAGGAAGCTAACGATAGCGGCACTTCCCCCCAAATTTGATAAAGCCCAAAAATGTACTATCTGAACGATCGCACTCACCATCGCTCAGTATTGAAATAATTTATTAAACTGGTTTATTACCAACTGGAAGCTGGTCATTTAATGTATGTATTTACATTCTTTCGTAAAACATACCGTCTTGTAGGCCCACTTCTGGGGAAGCGAACGAGATGCAAATACGCTTTTAAGAAAATGAAAAGGATTTCTTTTCTTGTGTTGACGCTTGCCAGTTTGTTTTGCATCATACGTGTGCACGTGTGAACTGGGCGTTTCTCTGCCACTCGCAAAAAACTTTCTCTAGCTTAAATGTGGGGAGTCCGCCTTTTTAACGATCACAGGAGAGTAAACGCGACCGAAAGGAATTACGCAGATGTTGCGGTTACTGGTAAGTACAACAGGAAAACCAAATATTGCATTAGCCAAGAAAAGAATCCTCAGACTAGTGGTCAATATACTGGCAAAATCCGCAAACTATACTAACTTACTGATTTATAAAGAAATTTAAACAAATGCATTAGCTCTTCCGCTGAAGTAATACCGGAAAAACATGGCACTTACACAATATGCTTATACTGCGTTGTGAGGCGCGAAAGCAGCTATTTGTATTCCTAGCTATGTGTTCGTGGCTTCAGCCTGCGTCTACCATGACGGTATTGCTTTGTTTCAAATTCAAGATGGCGGTCGTTTTAGCCTTTTTCAGACCACTGCACAAAAGATTGTTATTCCGGAAGATTCATAGTTTCCAATAACGGTTTTAAAATATTCAACTTTCACTAAAAGAGTTTTAAAAGCTTGTTAAGGTTTGGACGCAAAGTAGGGGATCGGCATTAGCATATTGTTTACAGCTACATTGCTGCCTTAAAAATGACACTGGTTAGCTGGCCGGGGCGCTCAAAAATGCGGTCAAATGCCGCCAAATTATTTGAAGTCTAGACGTAATTTTATCATACCATTGATGTTTTCCACGTCATCATTGCTATGAATTTCACACCGACAGTCAAATCCTGCCTTTGTATGGGGTGTTCAACATATGAACCTTATTACAGGGTCTAGCCAACACATGTCCCTTGAAGAGTCTTTATGCTCCAGCGACTGATCACTTGCGCTCCTGAGAAATCTTTAGGTGATAGGCCCGGCGGACTCCTTTATGATGTAAGCACTCCTATGCGAGAGCTTGTGTCACTGGTAAAAAATTCCCCCATCACGAAAAGAAAGTCGTTCGAAGTTGAATTATCTGGCTCAAAAGTTAATCTGTGGTAATTCTTCCCTTTTTGCCTAAACTGCACTGAATTCGACGGGTGTGGTAGGTGCAGGTGTAGTATCGGGAATATTTTCAACGGCCATCTCTCGTTTGATTCCCATCTGATTATCTGTGAACCTGTGAATTATTCTTCTGCAGATTAATACAAACGGCGTATTTAGACGTAAAAGCCATGTATTCGTATTTATCTTCCATGATCAATGAATTTGTTCAGGTTGTCAATATCAACTTGAGACTTCTATAAATCATCTAACATAACTGCGATAACTCTCTCTCTTGGTTCGCTCTTTTGCACAGACCTATAGACGTATCCGGTGCACACCACAATAGCAATATTTCATTCATCACCCAAACCTTACCAAAAGTCACAAATTTTTCGATCATTACAGTCAACTTTCTTGATAAATATCAGACCGCTAACTGGATGTTGTTTTCCTGAAATTATCTATTCTTACAATCGGTAGGAATCATCTCTTGTTGTTTGTCTTTAGAATAACCTGGCCACTCCAAATCTCTGGAACTTTCTACGTTAATCTCTACGTGATATCTGTATTAATTCGCCTCTAGTTTGATTCTGAAAGAAGCGAAAATCAGTTATCATTCCTAATTGACGCACGTCCAACTCAGCTACACGTTTTCGACCTTGTAAAGCTTTTCCTTCATCAAAATGGATTGAAATCTCTAGTGGCCAGAAATAAAATAAGATGGAAACAATAACAACATGCTTACGTAATATCAAAGCGCTCAAAGGGAACTCTAAGTGATAAAAAAGCTGTAAACCGTCAGTTCAGATATCAAACATTGTTTCAAAAGGAAGGGGCAAAGCTTAAGAAAAACTATGAGTACCCCTTGATGTAGCAAACTGACCTCAGCTCAGCGATTTTCAATTTGCGGTCGGTTGCTCTGCTAAATGAACCACAAGGACGTGCTCTTGGCCAAACAGTATGCTCATATGTACGTGTCTAGATTTAAACTGTGGAGTGATTTATTATTAGAGTCGTATAATGTTGATCCACTTCCGATAAGTTTCAAGGTTGACACTGTGTGCACTTAAACACTTTAGAATTAAATATATAAAGAAAATAAGTATTTATAGGCATCAAACAAATTCCCAACAATATGACTGAAAAAAAGATGACTAAATTGCCAAGAAGCAAGTTGGAAACTATGATGCTGTGTCAGAGTGGGGTATTACAAAATAATTTGGTTTTATCAGTCGAGTTAAATGTGAATTGGCCACCGTAACGAATTTCTCAAGCTGACATTTCGATCGTCAGCCTTCGACAGTGCGAATTCACATTATCAAGTGACAGTTGATAAAACCAAGTTAGCTTCGAAAACAACATCTCCGTCGATCATAGTGATGGTACTTTCAGTTAAAGTGTCCATTTGAAGTACTACAAATATATATGACACAGTGTACCACTAATTGTGACCCATGCTGGTAGTTACAAGCCAGACAATCACTACAAGAGTATGCGGGCTTTTTAAAGTTCACATAATAAAAGGAAAGTTTTGATTCCATAGAGATAACAGATTTCCTTATATTAACAGTCGCCTTTCCGAGCTAAGGTAAAAACATCGACAGTGATCATGAGTTTGGGATTATTTTCGACCAACACCCTTTTGAATATAATTAGTGTAATCTCTACATCGTTCGTAAACTAACATGCAGTTTCGTGCAGATTATCACGTGCTGATTCGCTATTCATCTCCACCAGTTTGAACCTAATTTGTGTAAACGCTGCATACACTACAAACCAACAACTTTTGTCAGGGAGACAAAAGAGATATTGTCGAGCTTTGAGCAGCGGAAAAGCCTCTCAGGAGAGCGCATTAGAAGACGCCCTGACCGGAAAGCAGTTTCGAAAGACTTACCTGTGGCAAATCTGTTTGCTCTTATTGAAGCACAGCGAAAGGATGTCGTTCCTTGATTTCGTAGGTCCCCTAAATAAACATGTACAATGGGTTAATTAAAACGGTGTAATGGCTTTTAAATGGTTAATGGTTTGGTACCAATTGAAACGATTATTCTAGCTCACTAGGTGTCAAAAAGCCTTCGTTTTTGAAGTAAAATCACGCACAGTTTTCATTTCCGTCCGTTGTTATAGCTGCACGTTGAACAAGCAGAGAGAACACATGATCACGAAAGAGTGTAACTGGCGAGTTTTCTCGAAATTCTATTATATTTTCAGTACTTTTAAGCTTTATTTAAGACAGGGGTATAATACAGCGAGATTCAATATCTAGAAATGTCTCCGGATCCCATCTCAAAGATAGCGCATAGCGCAATATCACTAATATCCGGTAACAAAAGTCTTCATACGTAAAGGGTTGTCAGTGGTATGAGTGCTAGCGTTAATTATAACTAAACGTATCTCAAGAGCGCTGTTAGTTTGATTTCAACCGAGGATAGATAAACACTCCAAGTGAAAGCTCCACGGTGGCCAGACACCCTATACAGCTTTCAGAATCGTGTTGAAGACGTCCGACCCGCGGTGGAACGCAAGAATGCAAGCCATGAAAATCGCCATCATTGGAGCAGGGGTGAGCGGATTAACTTCCATCAAATGTTGTTTGGACGAAGGGCTCGAGCCAGTTTGCTTTGAGAAATGCTCCGACATCGGGGGACTCTGGAAATTTTCCCAACATGTGGGCGATTCAAGCGGCTCTGTTTATGAATCTACAGTTATTAACACCAGCAAAGAAATGACCTGCTTTTCAGATTTTCCAGCACCAAAGCATTTTCCGCCATTTATGCCTCATGGCCATGTGATAGAGTACCTACACATGTATGCAAAGCAGTTTGACCTCCTCAAACACATTCACTTCAGTGCTACAGTGCTGGACATCAGCCGAACTTCAGACCACCAGAAAACAGGACAGTGGAAAGTGACTTCCGCGAATGGCGAGGGAATTGTCAGCGAAACTATTTTCGGCGGCGTAATGATTTGCAACGGTCACCTCTCGAAGCCATTCATCCCCAAATTCAACGGACTAGAGAAATTTCGGGGACGCAAACTCCACAGCCATGAGTACAAAAGTTATCGAGGATTTGAAGGCAAAGCGGTTCTAGTCATAGGTAAGTTTTTCTTCTGGAATTCCAAATACTGTGAACGCTTGCTAATTACCGGAAATCCCATTTGAAGAGTTTATCCCTGCTCACACTGTTTCCATAAGTAAACACTTTTTGATTTCACCAGGTTATAAGAATTGCGAGGAAACTGGACGGTAAGTTTTCTCTCAACTATATACTTGACGAAATTCGATTTTTGTTTGGGTTTCTTTTCTCGTGTAGCCATAAAAGCCTCAGCTTAGATGAGAGATGACTTGCAGAGTGAATGGTAAATTTTTTCAAACGAGTTTCAAGGCAAAGGGATATTTCCTTCGCAAACACTTTCCTTTACATAATAATAACATAGGTATAGTTTTAGTTACTCTGCTTGCGTTAAAATTACGTAACAAGAATCTACACCAGAAAGAACAAGGAAGTGTTCGAGTCTACGCATGTACGCTTAAAATTCCAACAAATTGAATAACATTGTGTAATGAGTAAGGAGATTTTTCCGCGTTCTCAGATCGCCATCGTTAACTCAATTTTCATTACTTCATAATTAGTTAATTACGCCAAGATGTCAATGGGGTTTTGATGGCTTTATTTTCACAACAGTGAAGCAAAGAATCTTCAATGAAGTCCTCAGTAACACGTTAACAAAAACACTGATTGAAAAAGCCAAAGAACCAATACAACCACCATAGCGACCAACGCCAATAAAGAACTAATGCGGTGCTATCTTGACGCAATACCACAAAGTACAAATTCAATACGCCTCCAAATTAGCTTTGTCGTTCTTAAACAAAGCAATTTTGATTTTAAGTTAAGGGAAAACCACTTGAATATTCAAGCCAAATTTGCTTGTAGATTATCTAGGCATAGCAGCAGTTGGAGTTAACTGTCATAAGGGCAATTTGGCAGCACCCTTTTTTCTCACTGTGGGGGGGAGATGGACATTGTAAGGAAATAGAGACCGCAATGAAGTGCAAAGTGAGTGTGGCAAACTTAACGAAACAGATCACTAAAGACACCCACATGGTGTTCGAATGGCACACACTTTGATTTTCGACCAAATTGTGGTTTACTGCGAATGTAGTAAAAAAGAATAAGAGAAAACCACTATTGTAACCCGTATTTAGGGAGTGAAGACACTTGGAAGCGTTTATTAAAAATATTGATATCAAAGAGTACAAATTTCCCTAACCTTACACTCGGCTTGAAGCGACAGATTATCAATTATCATTCTGCGGACAACAAACTGTATTCAAAACTAAAGAATTGCTCGCATTCTTCAAATGATCGCCTAGATACTGGCTTTTCGATCCACAACACCGCAGAATTATTTTAAATTTTCCCTCGATTTCGGAATAGTGCGGTAACTTTTTCATCAACACAAAACTGTACTCACTAAAGGATTAGCGAAACACCTCGGCGAATTTTCTCGAAAAAAAAGTTTAGCGCATTATTTATCATGCTAGGAGAGTTTACGGGAGTGTTAAGTGAAAATGAGTTAGTTACATAAATAACAAGCAAATACCAATTAATATCAAGTAATAAAATCGTGTTCAAAAACTTTAAATGAATTTCCTAAGCGTTAAATAATCGAAGACTGGTTATTCTTACAGACTGTGTGAAACATTATCAGCCAACATTTTTGATAGAAATATGGATTTCCTTAGATTGTCGAAATTGACCCCAAAGCCCGAGGCTGATAATATTTATGATGACCATGTATATTCCTCATAAGGAGAATTATATTAACATAACGGCCACGGGCTCCTTGATAAACTGAACTCAAGACAAGTGGAGTAATTTTCCTTATTCTGTGGTTAAATTGGTTAAAGCTCATTAGCTTTAGCCCTAGTCGACCGATCGTTATCTGGTGGCCTATATTACCGCCTATATCACGAGGAAAACGACGCACTTATCACCGAGTCACCAGGGGAGAACGATTCAGACAAACTTGTAGACTCGAGAGCAATATAGATAAGCATTTCACCTTGGAAATTTCCTCTTACTACATAAAGTATAATTTATCTTTGTAATTGTGCACATAGCAACTGAATCGTGGAAACTGAACGCAGGATAAGTAGTAACACCTATGAATCGGCTTAAATTTTTTCATGAAATGTTTTAAGTTCAGTAAAATTAATACTGATTTAAGAGTTACAGTTTATAATGCATTCCTCACTTGGAAGTAGGTTTTCTCAAGAACTATGACATGCATTTTACAAGTAAAGTGACTCCTTAGATGAATAAAGTCCTTAATGGTCCATATGTATCTTAAATAATAATTACAGATCTCCTAGACGTAAAAGTATTGATTGGTGCTTTTTATTTGCAGGTCTCGGAAACTCTGCTGCTGATATTGCGGTCGAACTGAGCCGGCACACCACTCGGGTTTACCTCAGTACCCACAGGGGAGCCTGGGTAATTTCACGCCTGGAGAAGCATGGACTGCCCTGGGACCAGCACGTGGAAACGAGGTTCTTTCAAAGCTTTCCGACCAAGATCAAAGAATGGCTAGCTGTTCGCACCGCTCAGAAAAGGTTTGACCACGAGACGTACGGACTCCGTCCCCAACACGGTATTTTGAATGCCCCTACGGTAATTAGTGACGACCTCCCCCTTCGTATTGCCACTGGAACTATCAAACTGCAGCCTAGGGTGTCTTATTTCACATCAAGAGGCGTCGTTTTCACCGACGGCACGAAAGTCGATAACCTGGATATTGTGATAATGTGCACTGGGTACGACATCGGGTTCGAGTTTCTAAAAGACAAATACATCCTTCCAGTCGACGAGAACCAAGTATCCCTATACAAACAAGTGTTCCCACCCCACCACCCCAAGTCAACCTTGGCTTTCCTAGGTCTGATCCAGTCCTCTGGCGCGTTCTTTCCCGCGGCTGAGTTGCAGGCACGCTGGGTGACCCGCGTGTTCAATGGGAAGGCTAAGCTACCCAGCAGAGAAGTCATGTTGTACAACATAGGTCTGGAGAAAAGAATGATCAGGAAAACTTTTTACTCGTCAAGGAGGCTCACTATCCAGGTATGAAAAAATCGTCCCATTGTAGACTCGAAATTACCTTAGGGAGGCTTCTCCATTCCTCTGGTCTCTTTCAAATCTCAACATTGGTTAACTAGGTCTCCATGCCACCTTTTGTAGCTAATAAATTGAAAGAATTTAGTAAAATCAAGATAAAAATCGTTGCCTTTTGAAAATGCCCCTAAATTAACAGTGAATACGTTTGGTTACCCTACTTTCGACCCTTTTCTGTGATAAGTGTTCATAAAATCTGTTACTCTTTTTTCAAAGATAAAATTCTCACAAAACTTTATCTCTCTCTTTTATTTTTCCAGGTATCCAGTATTCCGTACAAGGACCAACTAGCGGAAATGATTGGCTGTAAACCAGACTTCAGAAGACTCTTTTTCAGAGACCCTCTCCTGGCCTTCAAGTGCTATTTTGGACCTTGCTGTGCGGCCCAATACCGCCTTATGGGACCTGGGGCCTGGTCCGGAGCCAAAAAGACCATCGAAGACACGTACAGTAACGAGATGTTCCCACACGTGGGAAGAAGAAATAAAACGCCCACCAGCATATCACAAAGTGTGGTGAAATTCCTCAAGTTGGTCTTCATGTTTGTAACTGTTGCAACAATCAACGAATTGTCCCAAGATCTAAGAGGAGAGTGGGACGCAGTGGTTGGCTGGCTGAGGGCGGCGCGATAAGCTGTGGTGCCCGGATGTGACTACTTCTGTGTAAGGCCGCTGACCTGGGTCAAATTGCCGAGAACACACCAGAGTTCCTGCCAGGACTTCCAATCGACTGAGGAAACATCTTAATTCTGACGGTGTGAATGACCGCAAGTTGGAGAGAAGTTGAAGGTCGCTATTACAGGGCACAAAACGAAGACAGTGATGTCGAGAGATAGCTTTCAGGGTATTTCTAAGAAGTTAAGAAAGTTCGAATGATTCTGCCTCAAAGAACTGCACAAAGATAACTAGAGATAAGGCGGTCTGCTTGGGAGAACGAGGGCCTTAAATTTTTTCATCAGTGCATATTAGATGCCATGTAGTATAATGATGAAAAATGCAGGCAAGAAAAACTATTATTATCAATTACTTGACTGAAATCACATAAGAAATGTACCTCTATTTATTGAAACCCACTAAAAAAATGGCTGCTTGTTGTACATATCTGATCTGAATCAAGTGCGGGAAATTTGGCGAAGAACAAAACATATTATTTGATAACAAGCTAACAGGCTTCGGCAAAGCGCGTATTTTTTGAATGACTAATTCACTAGCTTGAAAGCTAAGTAATATTTCGGCCTTAAACCTTATGGTTTTAGCGCTCGCTTTAATGTATATTTCACATTCGCTAACACCATTTACAGAAGAATAAAGTTACTTATATATCAACATTATTATCCTCATTGACTGAAAAGCGAGAAAGACTCACCTATTGCGAGGGATGCGTGAGTGGGGTGCGCGAGAGGGTAACACCCTGCGCGCCAAGACAAGTGTCCCAAACATCAAAACCCATGGCGGTCAGTTCTTCAGTGACTGAAGTCACGGATAGTTCGCTGGTACCTGTGTAAAAGTGAACCAAAACACGTACCAAAACTGAAACTGAGAGCAGTTCTTCTTTTCGTGCACTTCCCTTCCAGAGTTCCATGCGACGCGCTAACATAAATTTTGTAACGCTAATTCTTTTCGACTCGCGCGACGGATATCGCCGAAAAGGATGTACTGCTCGCAGCCTAAAGAAAAAGTTTCTGAAGTGTCTGACTCGAAACTGTCCTGAAACATTTGGAGTTCAAATGAACAGCAATCTATAAAGGTCGGCACACACGAGGGGACTAGTCCCTGCGACTAGTCCCAGCGACCAGTTTCATGCGACTAGTCCCTTCGTGTGAACTACACATTTCTGTGGTCGCAGGAACCAAAATTTGGTCTCTGCGACTGGTCGCATGAAACAAATGTTTGTCTCCTCGTGTGAACTGTTTGTGCGACCAGTACCTGCGACTAAACGGTAAATAAGCCAATCACGTGTCAGTATGATGCGTGACTTCCGGTATTTGTAAACATTGCAGTTTCTAATGATGAATTTTCCCTGACCTCTAGATTTCTACAACTGAAGAATAAAAAACTATCTCTAGTTTTGTAAACATATACAGATGTCTTGGAGCCGTTTTGATGGAATTTTTACCCTATTTGACTGTGTCTGTTAAAAATAAAATAAAAAANGGTCCCCTCGTGTAAACCCTTCAAAGACTTGTCGCCGGGACTAGTCGCACGGACTAGTCGCAGGGACTAGTCCCCTCGTGTGTGCCGACCTTAAGTCCTGAACAAAAGTCTCTTCGAAGAAGCCCCTTTTTGTCTGGATCCATAACAAATTTGTAAATCATATAGAAAAGAAAGAAAAAAAAGAAAACCAGAGAAAAAGTTTTAGAAATTTAACACTCCATAAAAAGATAGAAGCCACCTGAACCCTTTCATATCCAAGATCGCATTAGTAATTCTCCTTACTGTCTGCTATACAATTCTTACGATCTTAGTTCGGAGAATTGGATCGACCAACAATCCCCTTATTTATATTTTTCTTTACTGCCTTCACCTGTCTGTTTGATAGTGTATTGCTATTGCGAGGAGAGATTCTGTCTTGGTCAGTAATGGGGGTTTAAGGGTAAAGTGTAAACTTCGTAAGAGGTACGTGAAATGTCTTGACCAACAAAAGATCATATGCAATACTTCGAAGAATACCGAGACACAATATGAGCTTAAAATAGAGAGCCTACGATTTTCTTCAGCCCATGTTAGGAAGGACAACGTTTTTCTTTAACATTGGAACGTTTTTCTTAGCATTGGAACGGCGTAATCGAACCACTAAAAAGAAGTCAGAACAAATAAATGGAAAAACACGTGAAAAACTTGTGTGGCGTAATTTCACCTTGTATAAAGCCTGTGCTTTCTCTGTACCAACGAACTAAATTAGCATGACAAAAGTATATCTAAGATGACAACCGTATACCTGGCGTGACAAGTGTGTAGGTACACCCTCCACCGCCTGCCCCAGTCAACTTGGAGTGCAAACCGTGTCTAGCAGTCACGCGACACACCTGGTCCAATGAAGTGTGACTTACTCCTAATGTCACAAGCAACTGTTGGTTCAAGTCAATAAGTTTCTGCGTTCAAAATAACCAACATAAACAAAATAAACGGATAAGCAGACAAACATGATAATTTCTTTTCTCGCCTAACGTTATTTTCCTTATTCAACAACGACCTAACTCTTCAAGCGTAGAAATACTCTGTTCTAGCGTTTCAGTACACATGGCGCAACATTGGCACAGAGCGGGGAAAGGGGGGAGGCTTGGGGAACACTGCGGTCAAACATGGAGCATATGCAGGAGGGTCATTTTAGGGTGGCTGCGGGCCAATTTCCCGCGCAAAATTACAAACGCAAAGACAAGAAACAACAGCTGTCACGCTAAATATGACAAGAAAAAAAAAGCAACAAAAATAGAGAAAAGGAAATTGAAGTCTTTCTTTACACAAGCTTAATAAATTACAGGTTCACGCCGATTTACCATTTTGTTTTGAACTTTCACAAAAAAGTTATACGGTTTTCAAACACCACGACCTGCTTGCTTGTGTGTTTGTTTGTAACTCCAGTGCGACAACTCGGTTCTGACAACCTGAAGGCACACCACCAAAAGTTTGCACATGTGCAAACGTTTAACCGCGTTGTTGGTTTGGGGCATCTCCTTCTTACCTCCCATTTTCGAGCAAGATGTATCTCAAATGTAGGCTGGAAACGCATATTTGGTTAAAAAAGTTCTCTTTTCCATTCCATCGTAATACAAGTAAAGCAAACTTGTCAATTAGATAGCCAGCACAGTAGTGACAGTATGGTGATACAATGAAGAAAAACATATGTACCTCCAACATATAATACTGCTCTTGAAGGTTTTCTTTTGCCGATGGTGATACGGCTACAAAAAGAAACAGTCTAGTGGTCAATAGTGACCATCTCTGATATGAAACCTCTCTACCTAATTTATCTATGTGTGAGACACTGTGGTCTTGTGGTCATTGTACTGGACTCTGGGTTGAGAGGTCTGGGTTCACGACATAGCCAGGTCATGTGATGTGTTCTTGGGCTAAACATTTTACTCTCACAGTGCCAATTTCACCCACGAGCATAAATAGGTACTGGCAAATTATCAAGGAAGCCTGATGAAATGCCAAGGGGTAACCTTGCAATGAACTTGCATCCCATGTAGGGGGGAGAAGTAACACTCTTAGTGGCTTCCTGCTGCTTGGAAACCAGGATAAGCTCCTGCTGGATTAACCAATAGGCTAGAGTACAGAATTTACCTACCTATATAGTGAAAATTCCATCTACACCTGAGTTGTACCAGGTCCACTTTTGATACACATTATAAACTTAAAACAAAAACTGTTGAGAATACATACCTTGGATTTGATACAGCTTCTCAAGATAGACACAGCTCTCTTCTGCAACAGCACCAACAGCATCAAACAGGGGATTGTACACAGAAGGAAGCTGGAGATTTTTTTAAAAAAAGGAGTGATTGAAAATATTACATTTTCACAATAGCTTTGGTTCCCTTTGGAAAATTGTTCTGTCAGGGACTAGTTTAGCTAGCCTTCAAGTCAGGAAACACAATTGGTGCAATAAACAACGCCAGCTTAGAAAATTTCAGTGGCCAGTTTATATAACTTCACCTGTTGACATCTGTCCCTAAGGCCTGCCACTAAGTCCTTTGTGCTGCGAGGTACCTTTGTGTCTGTGATCAAGACCCTGAGCTGTGGAATTCTATGGTACATAAATAAAATCTTGAATAAGAAGCAATTTTAATTAGTCTGCAAAATGAAGTGAGAGTAGCTATCTACAAATGCCATAGCCCACCCACCAATGCCCACCCACCAATGATCAAACCTGTAATTTGAATGATTTTGTCGACAATTATTTGGTTTTAAAAGTATTTCATATACTTAAGTACTTTGCCAAGTGCTCAATAGTTCCATCTTTGAATGTGAGAACAGCTCCTGAAAACAAACAATCAACTAATAATCAAAGGACTTAAAAATAAGCCATTAAAGGGTTGTCTTCTGCCAACCCCTAGCCTGCAGTGCCGGCAGTTTTGGTGGTTTTCATCTTTCGAGTGTTTAGTCGCCATGTTGGATTTGCTGCAGACGGGGAGAATTGGGGTGAGAAAGTGAGAATGTTGGAGTGGGTGGGGGGACAGGGAAGCTTGGTTAACTTTTTACCTCACCCCAACTCTCCACTGATTTTCTAATTCAAGATGGCGGCTTGAATAACCAATGGAAATATCCACTCACCCTGCCAGAATCCACCTGCACTGCAGGCTGGCCAACCCCTTCTTATAATTATTCTCCATTTTCTGAGGTGCAGACAAGGAGAATTTTCTCAACAGTTAAGAGCTTCTTTAGTTGGTGATCATTTCCTTTATTCTCATGACCTTAATGTGTGATTTGGGGCTGACATTGTAAGGAGAAACTAGTTGCTAGTCACTCATAAATGTTAATCTTACATAACGTTGCATGGTAAGCTGGGTGGAAAGAGAGAAGGACTACCTGCTGTACAATTATTCTTACTAGCAACACAAAAACATCAAAATGTGTTTCTTATCTACCTACCATATGTACAAACTGAGTTGTCAATTCCAGATGGCTTTCCGTGAACAAGCTTTTCTGCTTCTAAACTCCACATATGAATTAACTCCAGGTCTTCCCTAGACAGAGATGCCATTTCATCTCGGCATAGCTCTCTCTCATCACCTGGTATGGACCTCATCATTGAAGGTTGTGAAACCTTCCCTGCTACTGCGAGAAGGGCTGTGGAAAGGCAAACGCAGTATGATGCTGATGATCCCAAACCAGCTCCAACTGGAATGGATGTGCTCACTTCCACTGAGAATGAAGGAACCCTTCAAAAGAGGACAATTGATTTGCACAAAAGTTTGGATTTTAGAGCAAACTATTGAGCAAATTATGACTCTCTAACTCCCATGAGTGACCAAGCCAGAATTTCTCCTTACAATATCAAGCAGACAGGTGATGAGAATAAAGAAAAGTATCAATTAGGGGATTATTAGTTGATCCAACTCCAGAATCTCCAAAATAACATCAAAAGAATTTTATGGAAGACAGAAAGGAGAATTACTATTAAGATCTTGGAAGTGGAAGGGTTAAATTGCTCACTGTATCCCTAATAATCAACTTTTGTCTTAACTGTAAAATGTTCTGAATAGTAATGCCACACATCCTCTAGGAAATTATCCTACAAGAAGACAACTTTCATTTGCTCATATTGCATCACAAAGACTGACTACATAATTTCAACCATGTTAAGTATGGGCACACTCTCACACACAAGAATAGTTGAGGCTTTCTCTTACTTTCCAAAGTTTTTTAGAAAGGTTGTTATATTAATCAACGGTAAGTTTATTGCTTTTTCCATAAACTTATGTAAATGTAATTACCATTACATTTAAGGTCCATTGAGCATAAACATTATCCGAGCATACCTGTCAATTTCCTCAACAAACTTGCCAATGAGGAAAATAAACACTCTAATTGCATCATTGATGGCTCTCTTATCCACTACTTTGACCTCAGATTGTTCAGAAGACTTATTGAACAGCTCTCTTCCCTCCTGAGGCCAACATGACCCATCTGTAGCTGGGATGTAGAGGAATTAATTAACAAACTCTCCTTCCTAGCAATGTGTTAGAAGATAACTGAACAACTATCATCATGCAAAAAGTGCAATGGGCACACTCACTCCACCATTTACAATTCACCTGGTCCCCAAAAAGCCTGGATGACTCTAAATGGACTCTAGAGGCAATCCAACAGGACAAATATATAATTATATATAAAGTAAATTACTCCTTCATTTAAACATAAGTAGGATTTTGATGATGTGATGCTGAACACAGAATACTAAATGGCATGGTGTTTCAGACCACAGTCTCAAAAGTAATGACAATCATTTATCAGTTCTGAGAATAGAACATCCGCCTCCCGGCTAGCTCAATCGATAGAGCGCTGGACTGTTGTGCGGGAGGTCAAGGGTTCGAGTGCTGGCCAGACTAACACTCAAGGTCTTAATATAACTGAAAAGAATATGCTGCCTTTCTATAACATCAAGAAATGGTTACATATTCTAGTCTTCTCGGATAGGGACGAATAAATGGAGGTCGCGTCTCCTGCAGGGTTAGGGGTAGGAGACGTTAATTTCCCACGCACGAGATTACTGTGTGATGGATGTCCTCCCCTGGGCTGGGATGGGTGGGTTTACTGGGCCCGCAGTAATTGGCGCAAGCTGTTGCGGTGTCCCTGCCTGTCGGCGAAGCTAATAAACTAAACTAAACTAAACATCGACTGACTTTTGGGTAATGTTTTGATATCTACCCACTTAAGTCTTTCAGAATGATTATTTCATAGACACACTAAAGAAAAAATTTTATGAGTTGAGTGGCTTAAAGAGAAGCACCATATGAACAACAACAGTTTGACTTGTTTTAGGTGCTACGTGCTATCTTCTTCATGCCATGTGGCACTTAAGGCCTCATGACATGTATTAAGCCACACTTTATTGATCAGTCACCCTGTATTAAGTGGTCAGTTTTCAAAAGTCTTAAAATGTTTTCCTTTTCAACACTGTAAATTCATCTCTATTAAGCAGTTATTCCAACTAAACCATTGTGGTCACCCTTTACTGAGTCCCCAATGGCCTGTTTCTATTGTCTTCCACCTATATTAAAGAGTCACCCAAAGTGGAACCACACAAATAAAACTAAGGCTTTTGAGTATGGTCAATCCACATTTATCTCCTGAAATCAATTCAGGTAGTGTTTTTGAGAATTTTTTGTACATTAAGTGGTCAATGTAGGTGGTTCAGAGATAAAATCTAGCCACCAAGTTAAGAACCTTGGGAGCTGGCTTGATCCAAACCTGAATATGCGCCACCATATTACTAATGTATGTAAGGGCGGTATTTTCTACTTGCATAATATTAGACGCATTAAGAAGTATTTATCGAGAGACAGCTTACTCACTTTGGTACACGCATTCATCACGAGTAGGTTACATTACTGTAATGCTTTATTGTATGGCCTTCCCAAAGAGCAAATAGCTAAGTTACAACGCATGCAAAATGCTGCCGCCAGACTAATTATGGATATCGGGAAGTATTCTCACATTACTCCAGTACTCTATGAGTTACACTGGTTACCAGTACTAGTGCGTATACACTTTAAGATCCTATTATTAACTTTTAAAGCCATCCATGGCCTCGCACCCGCATATATTAGCAATCTTTTAGTTATCAAACGCAAGTCCTTGTACAATCTTAGATCTAACTCAGGTATTTTATTAGAGCCACCTAGAGGCAAAATGATGGCAACCCTGGGTAAACGTGCATTTCAGGCAGCTGCACCGCATCTATGGAATGAGCTTCCATTGCAACTACGCAATATTCGATCTGTAGAAATTTTTAAGAATTCAATTAAGACTTTTCTTTTTAGGCAAACCTTTTAATGGTAGATAAATTATGAATCCTATATAGCCAATTTAACTGTAATATGTAATTATTATTTATTTATCTATTTATTTTTTAATTAGATGAGATTTTAATATTTAGAGATATCAGTTGTAAAGCGCTATTGATCTGTTATTGTAAGTAGCGCTATATAAGAAATAAATTATTATTATTATTATTATTATTATTGTTATTATCAATCAGGGAACAAAATTGCATTTTTTACAGTTCATCCAATACCCCTATTTTGTGAAAACTGTATTGAGCAGTCACCCCACCATTCCCTGTGGATGACTGCTTAATACAGGTATGACTGTACCTTCCCAGAGAACTCAACATAATGACCCAGCCGAGCCTTCAGCCCATAATATTTGATCTGGAGCCCTGCAAAGCCATTAATAGGCCACCAAGTATCCCCCCTCCACCCCCACCCTTAACCATCTCAGACAGTCTCACCCTAGTGGTTTATAGCAGAGAGTGTAAAGTTCTCAGAGCCCGTGACCACGGGATTGCAAGATTGATTTGCGTCGATTTGAGTTTCAAGACATTCAATAACAGAATACAGTTCACTCTGTACTAAGAATATAGCACTTACTAAGTCTTTTAACGTCTTGTCGCAGCTCCTCGGCTTTCCATCTGCAGGTTGTCCCAAAACTCAACAAGTTAAGTGTAAACTGTCCGTCGTTGGTTGCTTCTAATTGGAGTGTCGTTTTCAACCCAATAGCTGCTGCAACGGCTTTCTAAAAAGGAGGAGAAAGTGACCATCAATTCGCCCCTGGACCGGTTCATTCAAATCACACTTTGCCCAAGATGATACGCTTAAAACTACCTACCTTTCCATAAACAACTGCATGTTCTCCATGAAGGATTATCTTTCCCGGGGCAGTGACGGTAAAAGAAGGAGAAACCATCTGCGTTTTTGCCTGAAAGGAACGAATAACTACGATAGGTATTACCGCACGGTATCCACCATTTTGTTTTACTGCTGACCAATAATACAGTAGGGCGCACATGAGCACAGGTTACCCGAAACTCAATTTCTTTGCTTACTTGGAAATTCGTGAGTGTCCAAACTCTCGTAAAGAAATCGCAATTCTAACGATGGAAATCGTCAGTAAATTTTCAGACGCAGAGAACTTCTAATTTTCTTAAAGACAAAGCTCTTTCCTTGAACAATGAACATTCCGCCACTCCAGCAACCAACCGGACTAAAAACTAAAGCATCTTGGTCACTCATGTTTTTCTGTCTTCAAGCAGTTTCCATGTTTTTACTATGAGTTCCCATTGGCTTGTAACATTTTCCTTTTTTTTTTATTGGACACAGCGATTTTTGCGATACTCGATGGAAATGCACTCTGAAAACCGTGGGACGTTGTCTACATCCCTATGAATAAGGGCGGGGGGAGTTTCTAAGGAAACCGTGGTGCAGTGTAAGAAGTGGTGCGGGGGGGGGGGGTACTCTACAAGCTAATTTGCTTTTATTATCAGAGTTGATATTGTAAATTGGCCACCGTAAAGAGTTTCTAAAGCTGAAGTTACCAGCGCTTGTCCTGCGTCATAATGACAATGAATCCTACAAACCAGCCAACAAAGAAACATTCACTCATCACTAAGGAAAACAACCTTTTAGATTTTGGTGAACAAGGGGAACGATCGATTTGTCAAAGAAGCACAATAACAGCTTCATGAAAAAGTTAAAATTACATTTATTTTTACATATACTGTAAAACACGACATCAGCAAAAATGTTGCAAACGTACGTTACTGGACAGATATAGCCTAAATAAACATCTGTTTATTACTTAGTACATACAGTATACTCATCTAAATTGTAGAAAACTTAAAATATTTACAAACATCTCTTTAGTATTCATATTGTTAAACTGCTTATAGCTTTCGTACAGAAAATATACGGACCAAAAATATATTTAGTTTGGGAACCAGCTGAAAACAAAAGGTTTAACTGAGCGTGTATGGATTCAAATTGATTCTGAGAGGAATGGGTTGCCGATTTCTCATTCAACACTTAGTTCGTCCCACAAGTGCCTGTCGTCAAATAGTTTTCTTCTTTAGTCTGCGACAAAAAAAACTAAAGGGCTTTTAATAAATTATGTACTTTAACAATCTTCCTCAAATATCTTGAAAACAATTCTTGGCTTGCTAAGTCTTAAGCAATGCTTTTCTTAAACTTTGTTTAAATAACACTCTTTTTCCATCACAGGATTCATGAATAAAAGAGACATATCAACAAACTTATTACAAGTTAAGAGTTTATGAAACTAGGCAAGGTGAAAGAAAATGAATTATTTTTCGTCGTCCGGAGAAATTTGCAAAGGGTTGGACCGTGACGCTTGATTAAGGCTAATTTTAAGAAGTGAAGCGTGAATTTTACAGAAAGGTGAGCGAGATTCGTGAATCTATGAACCAGCGTGAGACGTGATTTGCTCCTGGAATAAACGTAACCGGAGAATATTTTTTTGATGTAGTGACGACCTCAGGATTTTCTGAAACCTCCCACAAAAGAAGAGAGAATGACGCTTTCCTTTTAAATTCGTAAATTGCTGCTTAAAACATGCATGACGGGTGTAAAACGGGATCAGGATCCCCCCTCTCCCCCACCCTTTTGACTTGTCATCGAACGAAGTGATCCATATGAGGTCCGTCGAGACCTAGGAAACCGGAAGTTGTCTTCACTCTCCAGCAGTAAATTTTTACGCTGTTCTGGAGCTTCACGAAAGTTTTTCCTGGCCCAGCCATAGACTATACAGTTGAAAAAACCCTGCATGGGTGCGGTAAAACCCTGTTTATAACAAAATGCACATGATTAGATGTCAAGACCACAAGGAAATTTGTATGTTATGTAAAAAAGATATATCAAGATTGCGAACAAAGAAAATTCTGGCTTCTTCGAGAGGATCAAATCCCAGGAAGAAAAATCCGAGTTCCTTGAAAAGATTTTAAACTCAGTCTGGTCCAAGTAATTTACCAACGTGTTGTACGGTAACAGAGTCTGCAAAACACTGTGTTTTTGCTCCACCACTTAAATCAAACTGCCTGTTTTCAACTTTAATTTTGTTGACGCAAATCTCTAGAGAGCGCAGCCCAAAATAGTGTCAACACTTACCTGAAAGAGGAACACAAGGAACCAATGATGTAGGTTAGTTATAGTTATGCTGGGAGCGATGTCACAGGATGCTACCACGAGGGCTGAAAATAATAACAAACAAACACATGAAGATGAAAGTTGACGAATCGGACTTCAAATTAGGTTCGATTATCAGCCGCTGGTCGGGAAATGAGCCCGCGCACTACCTCCTTTCCCCCCCCAACAAGGAGGGTTGAAGACTGGGTCGAGAAAACGACGGAAATCAGGCCTCACTTATGAGTCAGTCGTGACAAATGCCGCGCTTTTCTTCGCACGAGATGATGACTGTCGAAACTAAAACGCAAGCAATATCTAACCTGGGCTCCAGCATAGCAAGAACACCAGTATGTAAAGAAAGACTTTGTTGCGAATAGCATCAATGCTGACCCGCTGAAGATCTGTTAATACTCCTGAAAAAAAGAAAAAGAAAGAAAACGCATAACGCGAAGTCGTCAAAGAATATGATGCATGCTCGGTTCCATCAACTGATGTTTCCCTCCCCTTTTCAAAGGCGATGTATTATCCTTCCAAAAACTTCCTAGCGGGTAGCGGTTGAGTATCTCTTCGAACAAAGGTGGTGCTCTTTTTTTTGTGATACCTGTTAAAACCAATAGGTGACTGTTACACAACGCATCCACAACCTTACGGGCCTATTCCGCTAAACGAAAGCAACGAAGGCAACGCGAAACTGATGAAGGCTCACAAACCTCGGCGCAAATATACTGTACTTTACCTTGTTTCCCAAACTAGGGTAGTAGCACAAACGATTCATGTCTTTTTAACCCTTCATTGTCAGTGTTAGAGAAGTTAAGCACTGGGTTCTCGGCAAACGGAAAAAATTGAGTTTCTCACCGTGCGCTTTCAGTCGTTTGTACATTGTACATTCCAGTTAAAATAGTTGCATTATATGTAGGCGAGAAATGTTAAGCTTCTTTTCAGAATAGTAATGTTTTGTTTTAACGCAAAATACTAACCCGAATGAAGGACAGCTTTTCTGTACGTTCTGACCGTTAAAAAATACACCACCTGTAAAACGAATGTAACAACATTGAGATGCAGGAATGTAGATTTTCTTAAAGAGTATTGGGCAGTGTTCTGGTAAAATGCAGTGTGAAGATGGATAGTAGCATGAGGCCAAATGTCACTGCAATGATAGGACAGTCATCTTGAATAAGCCGTTAAGATAAAGGGGAGAGAAAATATAGCTCTGTGATCCTAACAATTCGACTGGTCGTTGCATTAAGTTTAATTTTCATAATTTCCTTCGATCTCTAACGCATTTTCTCAGTTTAAAACTAATGAAACAGGGATCGATAAGCAACCAAAACCCGCTCCTCTTCCAGAATTAACATCCGAAATAATTTCATGAACTGAAGGAGGCGCGGTGACCCGATGTTTGACGGGCTCGACTCCGATCCAAAGGTCCTGGTCTGAGTTCTAGCCGGGCTTATCTTTTGTGTGCTTGTCACTGTACTCTCAAGATGTCCCTCCCAACCCCAGATAGCTAGAAAATTGCCAGGGAAACCTTAAGCTTGCGTGCAAGAGATTACTTGGGGGGAGTGGGGGGCTTTGGAGTGGGGGGCTTTTGTTACTAGTTGCCATTTCCAAGGAAACCAAGATAAGCTAAGATGGTTCACCTACGAGACAGAACTTGGGGGGAGCGGGAGAGATTTGATGTTGTAAAGGGACTTCTCCTGGATCTCTTAATTTAAAATAATACTTGACTGGGGAGCAGGGTTGGTGTAGTGGTGAGAGCGCTCGCCTTCCTCCAATATGTCCCGGGTTCGATTCCCGGACCCGGCGTTATAAGTGGATTGAGTTTGTTGGTTCTCTACTCTGCTCTGAGAGGTTTTTCTCCGGGCACTCCGGTTTTCCCCTCTCCTCAAAAACCATCATCATTTGAATTTATTTAATTTAGAATTTATTTGGATTTACACACGACCTCACAAGCTGTTCAGCTTTAAACATTATCGTGTCTAAATAAAGGTGTTATTATTATTATTATTATTATTATTATTATTATTGCATATAAGCTGGACACAATTTCTCCTACCATGAGCGCCACGATGGAGAAAGCAAGTGTCGCAACCAGTGCAATAGAACCATACACCTTCCATATTGAATGTGATGATGTTTCACCATCCTGAAAAGAAACGACGAAAAATGGAAGCTATTTTTGTTATTAACTAAAACGACCTGGGCCGCACACTTTTCAATGTCTTTAATCGTTGACCATTGACGTTAGTTGGAGATAAAAGTTTGATTTTTTGTCAGCCGGGACAAAATGGAAAGGAGCTGGAATGCACCAGCCGCAACTGACGCGCCTAAAACATTTCGGATAAGAACTGAAATATGTGCATAACGAGAAGCAGCTCCTTTAATCTTGGAAAAAGAATCGAAACAACATACGATAATTATCATATCATCATTGTACCCATAACATACTGATGTTCCACGGGGAAGGACGTAATGGCCACGAAACCCTTAGAGAATTTAATTATTGGTACACACAGAGTTGAAAAATCATAACGTATTCATCAATCCTGCTATCAGCCCAGTTTACGCGACGTAAAAGTTATTCCTCTTTCCCTGGCGTTGATGTCCAAGAACCAGATTTTACTATCATGTTTACAACGGTTCAGTAATAATATTCAAATAATACTAATCTCATAACTTAACGCTATACCTTTGGCTTTGGTCGATCAAAGAGTAAAAGGCAACTAAGTAGAAAAAAATAGGAGACAGTTACGAACACAGCAGGGGATTAAGAGTAAAGTAGACGCTATACTGAGAAATAACCAACATCTGACGATCATCGCATATAAATCATTTCTTTTTCACCGCATTACCCTTGAAAAACATTTCTTTTTACAATTAGATAGCCTCTATATGATCATTTTCGTCTGGTTTTCACAACAGTTTAATCTAACCTTCAAAAGTAAAAAAAATTATACCCAGTTGTGGCAGAAGTAAAACATTATATAGGAGGAATTCATGTTGGTAATACATCAAACTGAATGACGACCCAGTGATGACAAGGGCCAACTCTTACGAGGCCAATAAAGCGATAAAGCAAGGCTTATCAAAGTTGATCTTAGATATTGAAGAAAGTTACTGAGAAGGATCTCAATTTTTTTGTCATGAAGGTGAGAAAATGCATAAAATCTGAATTCTCACAAGTAAGAAAACCTCAGTCTTTTGAATAGAGCAATTTACAACTGGGTGTTGAAAGTAATCCTGGATTGCTTTGCTTTTGCATCACTCTGCTCTGTGATTAGTCCAGAAAACTTCTTACGCCACTCTCTCAACCAATCACATACAACACTAAAACCATTCACTACCCGGTTGCCTATGCTTTAAGCAGTTTGTTTGTTTGTTTGTTTTTGTTTTTAGTTCCCATTGGCTCCTAAAGGTAATTTTCTTTCTTCTGATTGGCCCTTCTGATTATTTTGGTTTTGGTTTTGGTTTTACAACACTCAATCGAAGAGCACTCCATGCGCTCCGATGCTCTACCACTGAACTACAGCTAACTCTCATGGTCAACTCGGCCAAAACTACATGTTGGCTGATGTGTGACAAATATCCTGCATTGTGTTATGATCAGCAATGTTGGATGTGTCATACAAGTAGACAGAAAAAGAAAAATGCTCAATTTTGAGCTCAGTTCACAAAGCAATATCATCTCTTATCATTAGAACTATATTCTATCATCGTTAATTTAACTACCGTAAAAGCCCGCAGATAAGCCGCACCCTAAATTAATAGCAGCTCAAATTTTGGAAAAAAAGTGTTTTGAAAGAAATCAAAAGAAATCCAAAGTCGAGTCTTGAGAAGTCTTCTTCATTGACTGTTCATCTAACGTAAACTCAATATTAACATTGCAACGGAAATTACTTCACAGTCTTACCCACACTCTTAGCACTTTAATATAATGAACATCGTTTCTACCAACTTTGACATAATTATGATTGGTCTTTTTCTGGTATTTGTTGACAGGAATTTCTTCATTCAACACAGCTTTTCCGTGCGATTTTACTAAACGTCGCCTGGGGCAAAATCAATGGATAGTTATCAAGCAATAACTCCCATCTGCTTCAATACTTTTCCTCTGATTATTTCCGTCAGAAAGAAACAAAGCCAGTGGAAAAAAAGCCTGCTTAAAATTTTCATCTTTTCATCTCTATTTTTTTTTAACACACAAGAAAAACAAACTTGCTTTGTTGAGTCCAGTGATAGTGATTATTAAAAAGCTGGTCGCATATTACTCCTCCGCCGTCAGATCATTGAGGGCCTCACTGAAAACCGCTATGGCGAGCTGGGCTCCCTTTTTAAATATTTTTTATAAATAAATAAATAAATTTTTGCATTACAACAAGAACGTGAGCAGAACATGCGAAGTTTAGTAACCAGGCATTAGATCGGATGCGAAAATGGAAATTGGCGTCGACATTCACGACACCTTTTTCGAATGTTCCCGCAGATAAGCCGCACCCCCAATGTCTAACGACGATTTTTGGAAAAAAAAAAAGTGCGGCTTATACCCGGGCTTTTACGGTAAGTAGCAGTCCTCATATACAATGCCAGTTCTTACCGAGTGCAGTTGTCAGGTGGGGAGTTTTCTTCATCATACACATGCAACAGCAAAGGCAACATAATTGCAACAGGCACTAACCTATAACGAAATAGGCTGACTGAATAATGCCACTAATCAGATTGGGTAGCCAATCAGTAAGTTAGGGAAGAAGTTTTTTCCACTAGGATTTATGGCCCAAGCCTGAAGCCTGCAGGACATTAACACCAAGTGGGGAAAAAAGTGGTTCTGTCACTTAACATAAGGACTGAGAAAATGAGGTTAAGTAAGATATTTCAGTACTATTTCTCTGAGTTCAAATACAGGGGGAAGTTTTCAATTAAAACAATTTTTTTTAATTGAGCCAGCTGTACAGTAAAATACAGTCTGTTAAACTGACCAATTATAGCTAAGAGATAAAATAGAAAGATGCTACATACACCAAAATACACTTATTTCAATTTACAATCATTATGATATGACCCAAATCACTCACCAACACAATGCATATAATATCCTTGTAGACCATACATAAGATGTTGTTGAAGAAACCTTGTAAATAAAATTTGATATAATTAGAGTAGTCACATTATAATGCCTTTCTTTGTGCCATCTTGCAAACATGTAATTCATTTTTATTTAATGCTGATGTCAACTGCCTGTCAAGCTTCACTGGCCCTTATGGTTATTCCAGGTAGCAAGTACTCTTGACTAGTATTTTTTTCAATGTTCTTTTTTTTTTATTCATAACAGCTTATGATGCAAGAGAGTACTAATAAAGACTGTTAATTGATGTGCATGATACACAGGGTCTGTACAGTCTGAAATCATAAAATTCCAAGACCTTTTCCCACACTTTTTTTATGTTTTACACAACCTATGCATGAGTTGAGTCCAATGTGATGCTAAAACAATCACGCAATACACCACTTTCATAAATGGCTGCCGGATTGATTTTCTTTTGTTTAAATTCAAATTAGCCTCACTAGCCTTGCTTGAGATAATGCATTCTTTTGAATTTTAAACTGGAGAATGAGACCAGAAAGGCTAATTCAAATTTAAACAAAAGAATATCAATCTGGCAGCCATTTATGAAAGTGGTCAATGAAGACACTTTTTCTTAGTTCACTCTTTTTGTCACGACTCCCAATGATCCACTTTTGTATTCAATGATTTCCAGACCTGGAACACAACAAATTGTGTACTTCCACAAGTTTCCAGGTTTTCCATGACCCATACAAACCCCGCATATTAATTTGATTTCTTAGATTAAAAACAGTTCATACACATTGAATAACTCTAAGTACAATAATAAAATCACCTACTGTGACAGGAGTTTTTTGAGGTTCACAAAATTATTTAATAACTATAACAGTACTTACTGAAGGTAACTGAAAATTAGCTATACTTTTAGTCTTTCCTCTGAGTCTGATGTATGCATTTAAACCATAGTTGACTGTCAAAAAGAATGATGCCAGGTGTGCCATCTATGGAAGAAAATAAATGGTATTCATAATAAAATGGTTCTCATCAATAAACCTCAATTTGATAGTAAAAAGCTAACTAAGAAGCTCTTGATTGTTAAACAAATTCTCCTTGTCAGCAGCTTAAAAAATGTATGAGGAGCAGTATGGAGAAAATGCATGCTGATGTTCGGGGGAAAAGGATTTAACACTATTTTATATTGTTGTTTAGTGCTACTTGTACATGAATGAACCCTTTAACAGTCACCACCACCTGATTTCTCCTTACAATGTCACTCTTGAATCAAACAGTTTTAAAAGGTTAGAAGAATAGAGGAAATGATCACCAACTAAAGAAGCTACTGTTTGTTAAACACATCTTGACAATATCTTTAGGAAATGTATATAGAATAGTATGGAGAATTTTCACATTGATGTGAGGATTTATAAGGTTAGAGCACAGTATTTGCAAAAATTACACATTAACTTACCTCTGCTACTACATCTAAGTAAAAACATGCAAAAGAATCATATTTCTGAAACCAACGACAAGCCCCAGCAAACCAGAGAGAAGCTAAAATCAGATCTGCCAAGGCTAAGTGAAACAAAGGGTGCACCTAAAATATGAAAATTACCAGAAAAAAACTTGTGAAGAACATCGGATATCATTCCAGTAATTAACAATCAGATTATCAGCTCCAGGATGATTGGTGTGAGCAAACCACAAATCAAATAGAACACCTACTCATAGAAATTTAGAGCATCTAATCTTACTGTTTAGCAAACAGCATAGCCAATTAGGTAAGAACCACAGATATTCCTCCAGGTAATTTTGGGAAAAATACTGTTTATTACTTTTCATGTTCTTAAATGGTTATTTTATTTAAAAAGAATAATTATACCAAAGAAGCTTCAATCTGAGCAAAGGTATCAATGATGTATTCGAAAAATCACTCATTCTGACTTGTCTAAAACAATGTCAACAGCTTGTTAGGAATATAAGTATGTTCACTTTGCTGTGCATTTACCTTTCATTCATTTGGCCTGGTAGGCTGGGTAACAAACATTACTTTAATTTGCGATGGATGTAAAGCAATAAATACTTAAATAATTTCCTTTTCCCTTCACCCTTGGCCTGGTGAAAATCCTGTCCAGGATCCTGTAGGACCCTGTAGGATCATGTAGGATCCTATAGGATCTTGAATAGGAACAGGATCCTAACCAGGATCCTGTATAGGATCTGAATCCTAACTGGATCCTAGAATGATAACAAATCCTGAATTGGGTCCTAAGTAGGATCTTAGAGATATATAGGATCCTATGTAGGATCACTGTTCTGATCAGGATCCTGGGTAAGAATAATAACCTGGATTATATATAGGATCCTATGTAGGATCACTATATCTTGATCAGGATCCTGGGGAAGAATAGGATCTTGGACTTCTATAGGATCCTATGTAGGATCACTATCCTGATCAGGATCCTGGGCAAGACTAGGATCCTGGATTATATATAGGATCCTATGTAGGATCACTATATCTTGATCAGGATCCTGGGGAAGAATAGGATCTTGGACTTCTATAGGATCCTATGTAGGATCACTATCCTGATCAGGATCCTGGGCAAGACTAGGATCCTGGATTATATATAGGATCCTATGTAGGATCACTATATCTTGATCAGGATCCTGGGGAAGAATAGGATCTTGGACTTCTATAAGATCTTATGTAGGATCACTATCCTGATCAGGATCCTGGGCAAGAATAGGATCCTAGATATATATATAGGATCCTATGTAGGAAGCTTTTTTTGGCATTTGTAAAATATTATTACAAGAACTCTTTGGAGCCTAATCCATGTGATTGTGCTGATTGTAGAAAATGGAAGGAGAAATTACAAGAATCCGACAACAGGAACATTAAAGACCAAAGTCACAGCAGATAAATTGTTAAATTTTTTTTTTATTAGCCTTAATTGTAATTTATATCATTTGATGTGTATTCTAGTGGAGTGAATTTGTTATAAATAAAGTTCCTATTTTTAATCATATTTCGCATTTTTCGTGACTATTACACCACACTTTTATCATACACTACAAATGTGCATGTGCAAAGGTAGACTTTCTTAAAGTTGTTCACTTGGTTTTCTGTTCTGGTGTGGTAGGACCCACACAACCGACTTTTATCCCTTACAGTGCACCAAATTTACAGGAGGAATTTTCCTCCTGTAATTTTATCCAATCTGAAGCAGCCTTATCAAACCACACGTCAATCAAACAGATCACGCATGCAAGGTATTGAAACATGAAACCTGTCTGGGTAAAATTTGCCTCGAGTGTTTTGCTTCGCTGTTTGCTTAGGTAGAGACTTTTACTTAAACTTAAATTTTCCGCTGGTTGTACGATGCGTTCAGTCAAAATCTTCTTTGTAAGTGTTTCGTTGCATTTCGAGCAGTTTCGGCAAACAGTTCCCAATTTGTTTTCTCGCGGAAAAACATCTCCTAGAAGAAGCCCCAGACTTTGACAAGTTTTGGTTGTTTCATATATAAATTTGACTGACTCAATGCTCCAACAAGATCTATATGCACAGTGAGTAAACAACTTAAAGAATTAAATTAATATATAAATAAATATGAAAATAAATTAACCTTAACCCTAAAACACATATATAAAATAACATTAACTGTACTCCTAAAGACATAACCCTGAATGAATAACAAATTAACCATCACCCTAAAAATCCCTCATATATCTATCTGATATATAACTAATTTTATTTTACCCTAACCTTTCGCCCCCGTCTTGAATTTTAATTATTACTGTCACTTGAACTCAGGCCCTGTGGTTATTAATAATAATAATAATAATAATAATAATAGAGCATTTACATTGCGCTAAGCTCAACTAGTTCTCTGTACATAGCACTTTACAAAATTATAGACTAATTAACATAGCAATTAAATTATAAAAAATCGCAAATTAAACAAATTGAACAAGTATGTTTTAAGGTTCTTCTTGAAAATTGCAAAAGATTCAGATGTTTTCAGGGAATATGGTAAATTGTTCCAAAGCTTGGGACCGGCAATGGAGAAGGCAAGGTCACCATAGTTCTTTCGAATGTTCTTGGAACCGTCAGGAGGTCCTTTTTGTAAACCACTTTTTAGTGAAAAAGTTTCCTCATTAAAGATTGTCATCATCATCAGGAGCATTTGTGATGAGGAACGCAGTACACGAGAGCCATAATTCCTTTGATGCAACAATTCAGCAATATAAGTTGGAGCTAAGCCATGTAGACCTTTATAGACAAGTAGAAGTATTTTGAAGATGATGCGATACTTAACGGGTAGCCAATGAAGTTTCTTTAATGCAGGTGTAATATGTTCCCATTTCTTTGTCAAAGTTATTGCTTGTTAGATCTTGGAGGATCTTATACAGGATCCTATTATATCGTTCGGATCTCGTACAGGATTCTGTAATATCTCACAGGATCTTGTACAGGATCCTGTTTCATCAAAATAGGATCTTATACTCCTGTAGGATCCTATAGGATCCTACCAGATCCTAAAGTATCCCATAGGATCTTGTACAAGATCCTGAATAGGATTTCAGGTAGGATCCTAGTAAGGATCCTATCAAGATCTTGGACAGGATCCTGAACAGGATTTTCACCAGGGCAATTAAATTGAAGGATAAATTGAATACCAACATGTTGAAATCAGCACAAAGTGCTGATGGTCAACCTCTTTTGACTAAATACGTCATAAAATTTAGGACTTTCACATACCTCTGGACTTCTTACAATTCTTTTCAAGACCGAAAAAATGATCACTGAGCTAGCTCCCAGGATGCTTTAAATGTAAAGTTTAAAACAACAAAATGTCAGAGCAACAAGATGTGGGTTTTGAATAAGGTCTGCTTAAAAAAAACATTTTAATTCTTTAGGCAGAAGGCAGACTATTGGAAAAAAAAAAAAGCAACATCATGAGGACAAAATTGCCCTAAACAAAGTCAAATATCTCTACCATACATCTATGAAGTCAGTATGACTATATCAGTCCCATGTTTCCCCTTAATTTTAACTATGACATGTAAAAGAAATTTCAAACTAGTAGAGCAATAGTCTCTTTGCAGCCCTTTCCGGCGTCGTTGTGCAAGCGAAAACTTCCCCACCAACAGCTGCTCACATTTGAACGACATTCCTTTCCCATTGTAATGTGTTATCCAATCAAAATAAAGTTATTGTCTGACAAACAACCAATGAACATGCAATATATTTACTCCTGCGAATTCACAGGAAGCGCGTTAGCGTTAGTTTCTAAAGATGGAATCTGATGTCATTGAAACTCCGAAGAAAATATCAGATAATGATCGCTGTTTTGTTTGCCCAAATCCTGTAGGAAAATTTATAAAAACATCTCTTCTCTCCTCTATAATTACTGTTATGGCTTCTCTCTGATGTGAATTCAAGCTCTCAATACCAAAAGTATCTTGCACTAAGTCGAAAGCATCTTCATTTTGTCAGTTTCAATGGTCGGATAATACGAACTCTGTGATTGGTTTGATTATTGAGACGCGAATGCTTTCCACAATATGTTAAGTAAATGCTCACTGGCCAATTTCTGGAAAGGAATGTTGTTTGAATATGAGCAGCCGTTGGTGGGGGAGTTTTTGCTTCCGTGACGACGCCGGAAAGGGCTGCAAGGGAGACTAGTAGAGCAACCCAGTAACCAGTTTAATTTTTAAGAATTCCTGGAAATATTTTGGGGTAATAAATATGCATAATTGACCTAACATGCAGTAAATTTAAGCTGGCTAGATATTGGCTGAGTTCTTTTTTTTCAAATGAGGCAAATATCCAGCCATCTCGACCAAACAAGCTTGGACAATATAAGATTTATCGTATTCACAAAAAGATTTTGCTTTAGTAAGAATCAAGAATTACAAAATGAAAGTTGTTTGAGAGACTGGAAAGAAATCAAACTGTGTTTGTAGCTCAAGAGTCACTTCTGCTTTCTTTATTTAGACTTTCTACTACCGCTTAGGAAACTCCATTGCCAACTCTGTAAAAAATTATGAACTTTTTTGTAAGTTTGCTCCGAGCAGTTTTCTTTTTTGCATAAGCCAAAGTGGGCCATCCCAAGCAGGCAAGATGGGCCCATCTTGCCCCCCACTCTGAGTAGCCAATTAGAACACAGGATTTGCTTTGCATTGCCTATATTGGGTACTGCCAGCAATCTAATAAGAGGTTAAGTGTATACTAATACACTGGATGTCATTGAGAACGTGAGTTGATCGGCTATTTAAACTCTGAAAATCCCTAGCTATTCACAATCCACCACTCACGAAGGATTTGCACCCAAAAGAACTGTTATCATGATTGCAGGAATGAATGAGTTTAAATCATTTTTTTGTGCTCTATTATCTCAGGGTTTTTATATATTCTAAAACGACTATTCAGTGTCAGTGGCTGGTGGTGGACATGCACCTCATGGCTTCACAGCTTGGTTAATATCCAATACTAGTCACGTCTATACTTGGGTGAATAACTGTCAACTGCAGACAGTAAATTTTACTGATTACCACTTGAAAGGGATACTAATTAAGTGATGTGAAATAAAAACCCAAAACAAACCTTAGTCCTGAGGTCACCAGGTAAATAATGGCAATATCCCTTTTCTATAAAATAAAAAAGTAGGTTGGCCAAACACATCAAATCACTCAACATGATTGCTTGAGCAGTCATTGACATAATGTTTTCAAAGTTAAGTGGACCAGGTTAAAGACTAAACAGGTTTATTGTTCAATAACAGTCCTCTCTACCATTTCCTCTACCTTCTGTTCAACACTGAAGAGAGTTCAATAGTACTTCACAAAATACTGTTTAGAACTGTCTACAACTGTCTACAGCTTTCAGAACTCAGGTTTGAATAATTGTGTGTAGATCTAAGACATTAATTCAGGAGACAGGTTTGGAAAATGAAACAGAATATTTTGGATTGATGCAGGTTCAGGATTTAGAGAAACAGAAAGCATGTATTTAACAAGAGTTCCTAAAGATACCCCCTTCCCCCATAGCAAGGTATCAGTGATATTGAGGTGTCTGCACATGGACAGTAAAACTCTACTTAAACTGCTTTCAATGCGGTTAACAGTAAGATTTCCACACAGCCCCCTATTTCACTATGTGTGGACTCCTGGATAAAGACAATAATGGCAAAAAATTTGATTGCCCTTGGGACTACAGCTTTATTTTACAATAGAACGGGACTGTGTGGAAATCTTAACCAGTATACCCCTGTAGATGAATTTTAATTCAACCTTGGGGCTCGAACTGTTACTATAGGAACATATTAAAAATTACAGCTCTTCCTTGTCGAATTTAGAAATCTGTGAAACTAAAACATGATGAAAAATGAAAAATGAATATTGTGACATAAAACAAATTTGCGATATTTAAGTGAAGAAAAAAAGAAACAGATAAATGAGAAAATCTCAGGAGGATCGTCACAGGTTTTAGCTCAACTTAATTTACAGATGACAAAGAATTATTTTTTTGCGCAGAGATAATTATCGAAAAGTTTCATACCTTTTCATTGCTTTGGATGGGACATATTAGTGACATAGATTTTTGCACAGACGTATTGTTGGCAATTGAGCTTCCAATGTAGTTTGACATGGTAGCGTCGGCGATGTACGAGCGCAGTCACCGGTCATTCACAGTTAGTAGTGAGCGATGTACAACTTAATTGGTCAGAAGCCAATAATCCTTCGTGTGCGACTTGTCTCTTATGTAAATCTTTCCTCCTACTCCTGTGAACCCAGAAAACGACCAAACTCTATAAAATGGCGAATCACTCGATGTAACTAAAACGCATGGAGGCAGTTGTCAAATGAGGAAAATCGCCATTATAATTTCGAGTCAGTAGTTACCAGGCACTCCCGGTAAAATTTTCAGACAGCAACGTAATCGATCGGCCTCGGGTATGCAAGCTTCAAAAATATTTTGTAGATTTTTCTTCAATCTAAAGCCGTTTCGATCGTGTCGAAGGTCAGTTCATAGGCTTTATGTACCCAAATGCGAAAGGACTGGTCAAGAACTTGAAGAAGTTGTAAAGAAAATCGACCATCATATCGAAAGCAGTCGACGTTTGTTCGTAATAACCGGAGCGGGCATTTCCACGGAATCTGGGATTAGGGATTATCGTTCCGAAAATGTTGGTTTATACGCAATCAGCGAAAGCCGACCAATCCAGTATGCCGACTTTCTAAACAGCGCCGCAAATAGAAAGAGGTATTGGGCAAGGAACTATGTTGGCTGGGAAGAATTTTCATCAAGAGAACCGAATAGAGGCCATTTTGCCTTGGCAGAGCTCGAGGAAATAGGCAAAATGCATTGGCTAGTGACGCAAAATGTGGACGCTCTGCACACCAAGGCTGGTTCTCAAAGGGTTTCAGAGCTTCATGGTTGTGCACACAGGTAGTGTATGGCTGTTTCGTTGTTTAATTCACCTTGTCAATGTAACCTCCAAAGGTTACTAGACAGTATAGCGGAGAAGACAATTCGAACACACAATAGAATTAAACCACGGTTAAATTAAATAGGTCATTTTACAGTTGTGTACTTAGTTGCCAAGCCTTTGATTCAGAGTGAGGCTGAAGGTGACCTTGTTGTGATAGAGACCTGTAACTGCTTACCATGATAACAAAGTGATTTACATTTTAAAGGCAGCAAGGTTTGTATCATAACAANAAAGATGCGGCATATTTCCTTCTTAATGTTCTCTGTGTCTCTAGGTGTGGCGTTTGTAATGGCTAGTTATTCAGTTTGTTATTCAGTCAGTTAGAGGAATTCTGGGTTTCTTTTCTATTGATGTATTCTTCTTACTTTAGATTGAAGTAAATGCCTGGGGGTGACTTTAATTACCTTCCTCTTAACTCTCTTGTTCCTTTCAGGGTTACTTGCCTAGGGTGTAATGAGCTGACTTTGCGGAATGATCTCCAACAAAGAATTAAAGAACTTAATCCTTTCTGGGAGGCTACTGCAAGTGGCCATGCACCTGATGGAGACACCTTTCTCTCAGATGATGAAGTCAAGGACTTTGTTGTACCTACTTGCCTTAACTGCGGTGGTATTCTTAAGCCTCATGTTGTATTTTTTGGTGACTCTGTTCCTAAACCAATGGTGTCTTCAATTCAAAAACGCTTAGAAGAATCTGATTCAGTTTTAATCATAGGATCTTCAGTTGAAGTGCATTCATCATATCGCTTTGCTGATGCTGCCTGGCGGCAAAGCAAGCCCATAGCGATTTTGAATATTGGTGCAACAAGGGCTGATAGGTTAGCCGCAGTCAAAGTGTCAGCTATTGCTGGAGATGTTTTACCAAGACTAAAAATTCTGTCACATGGTTTTAATCTGAACTGTTCCTGAAAATTTATAAAACTGATAATATTTTCTCTCTAAAATGTAACATGAGTGGCAGGTCTAGTTTAGAATGATCATCAACAAGATCCATGTGAAAACTGTTCCTACCCATTGCCAGGCTAACCCTTTAACTCCCAGAAGTGATTGACAAGGAACCTCTCCTCTCAATATCCATATTTTATCCAGCAAACAGGTAATGAGAAATTATTCTCAAACCTATCAGTTAGATGCAATCTTGATCTAACACCAAATCCTTGTGACTAATTTACAAGGAAATGAGTAGCAGCTAGAGGGGAGAATTAACAATCAGATCTGGGGAGTTGAAGGGTTTAGTGGCATAACTCACTGTTCCAGATAAGAGACGGGTCTCGGGTCAAATACGCGACGGCAACCGCTACCTGACCCGACTCTGACTAAAAGGAAAATCACCTAAAGTACTCATATAAATTAAAATACTATAATTACGAAAGAAAACAAAAGTAAATAAAAGAGTGAAGTTTCTAATGAAAAACAATTGAAAAAAAATAACTAATACAAGATATCAAGGAAAAGAAGTTTGAAAAAACAACTCTACAAATTTCCAAAGGCGACTTACACTTGCGAATCATTTGGTCCTCTGTTAATTTAGCAAATAAAAAAGAACGTGCCCCTGAAATAAAAATTGCCTTGCTGTTGCATTGTTAATTTCCATACTTGTTAGTTAAGGATAAAATAAATACAGTTCAATGATCTCACTAAAGCTCAAGAAACTGAGAAACTATTCATCTGATTCATTCGTGGTGGCTCTGACCACAGGGGCCCACACAAGCGGCATGTCTGGTCGTTTGTTCGAAATATAAAGAAATGTATGGGAGAATACTGAAGAGCCGTAATATCGTAAACTTATATCGAGGAATTTCTATGTTAAGGCTCAAAATAAATGTAAACCTACCTCACTTGCTGTGTATTGTCGTTTCTGTGGTTCTAACCTTCTTATACAGTGGAGTAACAGTCGACGCAAAATCTACCAAATCGCTCAAATATGCCATTTAGAACCACAGAAACGACAATACACGGCAAGTGAGGTAGGTGTACATTTATTTGAGCCTTAACATAGACATTCTTCGATATAGGTTTATGATATTACGACTCTTCAATATTCTCCCATACATTTCTTTATACAATGAATATATGAAGTTCATATGTTCATTTCTTTATATTTCAAACAAACAACCAGACACGCTGCTTGTGTGGGCTCCCTGTGCTCTGACTTGTGTGATTTTCTCCTCGGTTACCTAGTACGTGATCAATTTTTTCCCTGATTGAATTTCATTTCTTTGTGAACAAGGTTCCATAAGGTTACACGAACAGCAGCTGGACCCAACAGGCCTGCTATCAATGAAAATTTTGGAGATAATTTGTTGTCTAATCCTTAGAACTACCTTTTTTTTAACGACTTTATTGGGCATATCAGATAAATATTTAAGCAAGGCAAAAGTACAATAACACAATAACAAATAGAAAACAGAAGAGAAACTGAGATAAAACTGCACCCAAAAGGGAGGGCACGAACGGGACGTAAAGTCCCATGCGAGACGCAACCCATTATGAATTAAAAAAACACTAAAAAATAGAAAGTTACAAAAATACAGAATAAATCATTTCAACTTAGTGGCACGAGCACGTACTGGCTACGCTAGTGTGTAAATAATCTGCCAAAAATCGGGTCTTTAAAAAGCCAGTTCAAGTTTTTGTTTTTGTCTGTCTAAGGTCATATTCCGAGGTATCAAATGTCAAACATTTTTAGATTCCTGAAAGTCAATCCTTTATCTGTTTGCCAACACCCACCCCTTATCTTTGCGTAGCGCTGCAGCTGCAGTTGGCCAGGCAGACCTACTTTGTGCAACCCCCTGAAAAATGACATAAAACCTTGCCAGAAAAAATTAACTGGAACAATGTAACTGCTCTGCATGCCAAATGAAATACCAATCACTTCAAATTCAAACTACCTGAGTGTTTAAATATTTATTATCTAATTACATTTTAACTTACATGATAATATATACTTTTTTTTAAAATAATATGTTTTTTAAACAAGTGTTTGTTGTGGGTTTATGAAAGACAAATGAATTTTTTAATACAGTTGTAAGTGAATTCTGCCAACAAATTTACTCTTTTCTGGTCTCCCAATTCAGATTACAAGATGATTCATTTGAAAGATTACAATTGTGCAACTTGTTACATGCAGATAAAACTGAACTTAGAAGTGCTTGTATGAACAGAGGAGAAGGATGTTGAAGCGGCAAATTGATTTACACATATTTTGGATTAAGATACCAATTTCAATGACTGAGGGTCTCCTGTGCGCATAAGCAAATTGTCTGGTACCATTAAAGGCTGTATATTAATGTTTTAAATGAGAAAGGAGTATTTCATACAATTGATCTGCAAGATGTCCTTGTTCACTACTAAGGAACAGTTCTTTGAATATATACATATGATTTGGCAAATTGGATGGGTTGATGGTCAGAAGGTATGTAAGGCAAAGCAAACACAACTGTGGAGAATTACATTGATAACCATAATTGTACACCTGCAGCACAGTGGAAGCATTAATTAAATTAACCAGGAATTTCTCACAAAGGGTTCTCAGTTTGTCCAAAAAAAACCTGTCAGCAAGTGTTAACAGCTCTAAAAAGAACTGTAGTTCATCGTGATTCATTTGAATTTCCATAACTTTTCTTTTTAACACGTCACAGCATGACTGAGATGAAATCATTTCACTAGAGATCTGTTCATTTGGAATTATCTTGCATCCATACATATGATGTAATGCAAATCCAAAGACATCCACAGAAATGTCTTGAAGAGAGATGTCAGACTGTGTTGATTCTAAGAAACTGTCTGAAAACATGGCAGCAAAGAAATCAGAGGCTGACATCATAAGTTGTTTGTGTGCCACAACTTTATCCCCGTTGTCCATTACAAATGTAGCATCGGGAAGACCAAGGGAATTTGCATGGTACAGGCATGACAAACAATCTTTCTCATCATTTGAGGATGAAGCCTGGATGTTGCTGAAATCCTTTTTCAGCTTTTTCCTTTGGTGCAGATCATCAGAAGCCTCTAGGTTTGTTTCTTCATTGGTTGATGAAGTCAGATCTTTAGAAATACCTTCACCTTCCTTCCTTGTAACATTCGAGGGGAACTTTAGCTGTAACTCATTCGCCAAAACTATCAAAGACTCCACAACAGTTGGAAAGGTTTTACCAGTTGGAGAGAGTGATTTGAAAATATCACACAGCATCCTTAAGCCCTTCCTATCAACAAGCATTTGTTGTCTCAGTTTAGTGGTCCTAGAAAATATGAAAATAAACATTTTTAGCATTTTTTTGGTCCCTGAAAGATCCTGTGATGGTTCATGTACTTGATGTAATGCCATTGGACACAAAAATGCAGTAAACACAAACTGTAAAAAGCCTTCTTTTGGGTATACAAGTCTTTCAAACAATAAACTAGGTATTTGAAAACTAGGCATGGTGAGCACATTTGCCCTTTACTGGTTTTAACATGGTACAAATAGGCCATGCTGAAGAAAAGGGTGGGGAAGAGGCAAAATGCCCAGTGGGACATATTCTATATTTACATGGTTCATCACCTTTTTCAGAATCAAATTTCAAAGACTTTCCAAGACTTTTCCAGGACTCAGATTAAATTTTCCCGGGCCTTTTATTCCCAAGATTTCAAAATCAATTTTCATTACACCACATGCACTTCTCACTGAATAAAACAAATTGTGAAACTTTTTTGCTTCAGTTGAGCATATATAGATGACTTTCCAAGACCTGTAGTCTTTTTTTAAGACAATCCAGTCCCAGGAAATGTCAAAATAATATTCCAGGACCTGTACCACCCCTGCATTTACTATAAAGGTAGGCAGCTTCATGTCACTGGCCACTGTGTAGAGGACAGTGTTTTCAAAAATGTATCAACAAAAGGTGAACTTGTCAATGAAGACAAACACTATCCCAAATTAAATGTCTTTGATGAGGCAAGGACCTAATGTTTAACATAGGCAAAATGTAGTACCACATGTAAGTACCTGCATAGAAGTGGCAAGGCAAGCACACAGTCTTCACATTCTTCCTTTGATCCTGTGAGAAGTATATGTTCAATCTCACCCTTTCCACAAGGGGTTTGTGCTTGGTTAGAGAGGATCTTTAATAAATGATTTCCTGTTTCCTGACAATGGCTTTGGGTTGCTGAAGACATAGACTGGTATTTTGCATTAGGGCTGATCTTGTCTTTTGGTTTGAATACACTGTCTTCAGAACTTTGGCTGTTGAAGGGTGTTGGCAATCTCTGTTCCTCAAATGAATAAGCATTTAAATCAGGATCACAGGGCTTCAGTGGGCCAGTACTTTCTTGATATTCACAATTCCTGAAGCACAACTGGTGATGAATGGCAACCACAGCTCCATGCACTATTAAATCTCTGAAACATAGTGGATTTGCAGCCAGAAGATTAAGGATACGTGCACACTTGGGGTTAGGATTGTTCACCAAACAGAGGTAATCCAACAAAACTCCAATGCAATCCTTGTTCACAAGATGAATGCTTGGATTGGTCATATGTGCTATACGCAGTAGCAAGGTAAGAGCACTTTGGCCAAGACTCCGATTGTGATGCAACCCAGACTGAACCTTTGGTGACAAAGGAGAGACAGGACTTTTTTTCACAGGTTCACCTTGAACACTACCACTAGCAGGATGTAGGCCAACTGGGGAACCTAGCATCACCTGGGTTTGATTTTCAATGCACATTGAAGTAGGATCATCACAAGTTAGAGCTGCAGTTGGTTCATGTAAATCACATTCTCTCTGTGTTTTTGAAAAATCTTGATGTGACGGCAACACTCTTGGGCAACTTGCACTTCGCAATGTTGCGAAGTCACTCCAGGAAGATGCAAGGGATGAAACACTGCGAGAAGAGGTGCATACCGACACTAATGTTGTTGTATCAGTCTGTCTGGAAGCAAAACTGAACACTGACTGTCCTATGGTACACACACCTGGAGGTGGGGTGGTTGGAATGGGTGAAGGCTTTAGTTTTAGTCTCCTTTTGAACTTTGAAAGTTGGCCTGTCACTTTTGTGTCCGTGACCTCCCTTGCTGTTTCTTCAAGCTTCTTGAGGAAAGTTTCATCCTTCAGCGCCTCTGCACTAACATCGGAAAATACACTTTTGACTGATGTTGTCCTCATTGAGTAATCAGTGTAGAAGTCTGCTGAAAATGATTGATGATCTGTTAAACCATCATCATGGTCATCATCATGGTCATTTTTGGATTGTACTTGATGTATAATCCTGTTAAGATGATTCATTAGACCTGGAACTAGATCTCCATTAAGGAGAATTTCCAAGTCTACTTCACTGTGACAGAACTGAGCAAATGCAGCAACAATCTTTTTCTCAAGACTCAGCCACTTTCCTGACAGTAAAATCTTCAATAACAGTTCCAATGCTGAAGAATCACGCACCCTTAGGCGGTTGATCCCTTCTCTGCAACAATAGCAAAGTCCTTCAATGGCCTTGACAGTAACATGCCCCAGCTCATCTTTTTTGAGCTGTTCAGTCAAAGCCTCTATCCCACCTTCACTGCCAATACAAACACGCACATGAGCATGATGGGCTAA